CGGTACACTCCATCTTACCTCTCACCATATAATTTTCTCCTACATCCCTCCCTCGACCGATAAATCTCAAACCCCCAATACTGCTGGCCGGTCAAAGGAGCTCTGGATCACATATCCTATCATCTCCTTCTGTACCTATCGCCCCACCCCCGCCGCAGCCCGCCAGCCATCTTCGATTCGGTTACGGTGTCGGGACTTCACCTTCGTTTGCTTCTACTTCACTAGCGAGAGCAAGGGTCGAGATGTATACGAAACCATAAAGTGCTGGACCTGTAAGGTCGGACGCATCGACAAGCTGTATGCTTTTTCCTACCAGCCGCCTCCCCCCGAGCAGAAGTTCAATGGTTGGGAATTGTATGATGCCCGCAAGGAATGGGCTCGGCAGGGCGTAGACCAGGATGGCTCGGGCTGGCGGGTATCCCAACTTAACGCTGATTATGGGGCAAGTATGCCCTGAGAAGACAACGGAGTTGGCTACATCATTAACCATTGAACCTCAGTTCTCTGCGACCTACCCTGCTCTCATACCTGTGCCGACTACCATTTCGGACATCACGCTCAACCATGCTGGCAAATATCGGTCAAGAGCCAGAGTGCCCGCTTTGACGTATCTGCACCCTGTGAACAATTGCTCCATCACACGAAGCTCGCAGCCACTGGTGGGTGTGCGCCAAAACCGAAGCATTCAGGACGAGAAGTTGCTCGCCGCAATCTTCTCGACTTCCCGCCCCGAACGACCGCTCGCGAACTTCACACCGCCGAATCTGGAGCCGGAATCCTCCAGTTCGACATCAAGTGATCCCTCCAGTAGTCAGATGCTGGCTGACTTGACCAATGCCGAGGAATTGGAAGATGAAATGCTGGCATCTTTTGCCGGTGACCCGGAGGAAAAGCCCCACATCTACGGAGCCCAGCAGCGCAATCTCATTGTTGATGCTCGTCCAACCGTCAACGCTTTTGCCATGCAGGCTGTTGGGCTCGGATCGGAGAATATGGACAACTACAAGTTCGCTACCAAGGCGTACCTCGGGATTGACAACATCCACGTGATGAGAGATTCCCTCAACAAAGTGATCGATGCTCTTAAAGACTCTGATGTGACCCCCTTAGGACCAAACAAGGACCAGCTTGCACGGAGCAACTGGCTGAAGCATATTTCGACGGTTTTAGATGGCGCAGGTCTGATTGCCCGGCAGGTTGGGCTTCAGCATTCGCATGTCTTGATCCATTGTTCGGACGGATGGGATCGAACGAGTCAGTTGAGCGCATTGAGTCAACTGTGCCTAGACCCGTACTTTCGCACACTGGAGGGCTTTATGGTTTTGGTAGAAAAGGATTGGCTATCATTCGGGCACATGTTCCGACACAGGGCTGGACATCTCAACAGCGAGAAGTGGTTCCAAATCGAGAACGAACGGATCGGCGGCGATTCAAATCGAGCATTTGGCGAGGCTGGTGGTGCCAGCAGAGCTATCGAGAATGCTTTCCTTAGCGCCAAGGGATTTTTTAACAGAGACAACAATAGCCGCGATTCTCTTGGAGAGTCGGATGGGGAGATGCAATCATATGACGGCGACAATGCGAAAAAGCCTTCAGTGCCTAGAGCAACAGCTGTGGAAAAGGAGGTAACCAAAGTCAAGGAAACAAGCCCGGTCTTCCACCAGTTCCTAGATGCAACCTATCAGTTGCTCTATCAGCACCCTACCCGGTTCGAGTTCAATGAACGGTTCCTGCGACGACTATTGTACCACTTGTACTCGTGTCAATTCGGAACATTCCTCTTCAACAGTGAGAAGGAGCGGGTAGAGTGGAACGCTAAAGGGCGTACTCGGAGCGTTTGGGACTACTTCCTGGCACGGAGGGAACAATTTCTTAATCCTGACTATGACCCGCAGATTGACGATCACAAACGTGGAAAGGAACGTCTAGTCTTCCCACGCGTCAATGAAGTGCGGTGGTGGAGCGAAGCCTTTGGTAGAACCGATGCTGAAATGAATGGCCCTCGGGCCCCAGGCTCGGGGTTGTCGGTTCCCCGTGAGACTCCGAGTGCTCAGCGGTCGCCAGTATTGACAGGGATGGAGACCGCTAACCATTCTGTCGGCGCTGGCTCCGCTGGCAAAGATGCTAACAACGCCCCACCGAGCGGCATCGCAACTGTGACTGCGGGGATCTCTAATTTGGCCTTCCCCAAAAACAAAGAGAACAACCAGGATACGAAAAACATGAATCGCATGGAGCTTGAGATGCAATGAAGGAGTAAAGACCCCAGTCAGCGTTCAAACTGATGGAATGACGCATTGCGTCGGAGTCGGTCTAGGCAGGCAACCTATAAAAGGCGGGGAGTCTTCTGTTTGTTATCTAGCTATTGTGCCCTTAGTCTTTCTTTTTTGACGCAGCATATTCTGTCTTGGTTTTGTCGGTAGCGATACAGTTCTAAGGCCGGGAGAGAGGAAATATGCCGAGTACCACCCATGTGGGGGGTTGCGCAACCCCGCTGGATCTGTAAAGAAGTGTTCTTCACAGAGGTCCCATTGAGTTAGGGGTTTCAGCCATTGATGGTGACTTGGAAGTCTGACCAGCCACTTCTCTGAAGTTGCGAAGGGACCGAAGTGCAGTATGTATAAAGGGAGAAGAAGAGAGTTTTGAAAGAGACCGAAAGACCGAAAGACTGGATGTAACTTACTCGAGTACTCATGTTTGTATGTTTGTTGTAGGCTATTTTAGATGATGGTGCCTGTATGCTCAGGCTGAAATACCCGGGGGACCTAAACTAAAGAAGGCCCCGGGAGGGGAAAGCTTACCCAGAAAGGAAAGGTGCCCGCGGAGCAGCAAGCGAGGTTGAGCCCTAACCCGAAAAGGGATGAACAAGCCCTAAAGCCAAAAACTGCCCACTACCGCCGACCTTCACAAAACTGACTTGACCGCCGCCGACCAATTCGCCCTCGAACGACTACCCCCCCTTCAACCACCCGCGTCCTCGGCCGTTTCTTTCGCCAATTCACCACCCAGAAACGCAAACATGGCTGCTGTCCAGGGAGCTATTTCGAAGCGCCGCAAGTTCGTCGCCGACGGTGTCTTCTATGCCGAGTTGAACGAGTTCTTCCAGCGTGAGCTGGCTGAGGAGGGTTACTCCGGTGTCGAAGTCCGTGTCACTCCCACCGTCACCGACATCAGTACGTCGCCCGATTTGATTTGCCTTGTTTTGTTTTGAGAGGAGAAAGAGGTGGAAGGAGAATGTCCGAGGAAAGGTCGAGAGGATGGAAACAATCGATGGAACAATGCGAGAAGGAGCTTGGAATAAGTTTTGGATATGGGTGGGGGACGAGTGGGAAGATCAACAATGGAGGAAAAAACCAAAACGAATCGGTTGCTAACGGATGCTCTTTCTTTTGCTACAGTCATCCGTGCCACCCACACCCAGGAGGTTCTCGGTGAGCAGGGTCGCCGCATCCGCGAGCTCACCTCCCTCATCCAGAAGCGCTTCAAGTTCCCCGAGAACTCCGTCTCCCTCTATGCCGCCAAGGTCCAGAACCGTGGTCTCTCCGCTGTCGCTCAGTGCGAGTCCCTCCGCTACAAGCTCCTCAACGGTCTCGCCGTCCGCCGTGCTTGCTACGGTGTCCTCAGATTCATCATGGAGAGCGGTGCCAAGGGTTGCGAGGTCGTCGTTTCCGGAAAGCTCCGTGCTGCCCGTGCCAAGTCCATGAAGTTCACTGTACGTTTCTTACCGATCAAACCACCCTGAAACCGCCGCGGAATATGGTCTCGATACAGCAACGGGATTGGATCGATGCAAATCTTCCGCGATTGCGAATTGCGACTGCATTTACGACCGCTCAAAGAGAGATCCGGTCCGAATCCGTTGAGCTAGCGGATGCACTGCAAGATGATGTGCATTGAAACATAAAGTATTCCGAGACTAACACGATTTCGTTTCTCCACAGGACGGTTTCATGATCCACTCCGGTCAGCCCGCCAAGGAGTTCATCGACAGCGCCACCCGCCACGTTCTCCTCCGCCAGGGTGTTCTCGGTATCAAGGTCAAGATCATGCGCGGTTCTGACCCCGAGGGCAAGGCCGGCCCCCAGAAGACCCTCCCTGACTCCGTCACCATCATCGAGCCCAAGGAGGAGCAGCCCATCCTCCAGCCCATCAGCCAGGACTACGGTGCTAAGGCTCTTGCCGCCCAGCAGGCCGCTGAGCAGCAGCGTCTGGCCGAGCAGCAGGCCGCCGAGGGCCAGGAGGGTGCCGCCCCCGCTGAGTTCGCTCAGGAGTAAAAAAATTAATTGGATTTCCTCTTCTTTTTTTCTCATATTAGGCCCCCCCTGCTCTTTTCTCTTTTTCTCCGTTTCCTGTCCGACCTACCTATATCTCTCTTACCTGACGCACAAATAAACTACTTCATGATCTCTTCCTATCCAGAAGACCCGTGTTTATTGTCATTTCCTTCGTTCCGCTTCCCGTGGCGGACGGGGGACGTCAGTATTCTCTCAAAAGACCTTTTCCCCCTCTCATGTCTCTAATTAACTCGCTCCATATACACCCTGAGTCGATACGACCTAGGTAGGAAAGACAGAAAACAAGAGAAAGAAAAAAAAAGTCAAAATTCATGCCCGAAACGAGTTCTAGCCAAGCCTTTCTTCTGGTCCCCACACTTCGTACGCCGATACCCCGGTAAACAGTGTAGATCTGTGTGTAGATGCTTAATTGTGCTGGAAGAGTGTGGCCCCGCTCGTGCCTCAAGGCAGACTTTTGAAGGCTGGCCAACTGGTCGCCCGCATTGTACAGTACTATCGAAGCAAAAGAACGATGTATTACGTAAACACATGCTTCACTCCTTCTGATTTCGCTTTTGATATTGTCCTTTTTGTCCTTTTTTTTTATTCATTCTAGCAATGACATCTTACTTCATGAAACTCAGCTGTCTTTTGATCCCTATGCATAAAAAAGTAGATCTAATCCCTCACGTCTACGTCTTCTCTCAGCCCGGGGTCATCAATCAATCATAGGAAAGCCTCGATGTTCAGCTCCAGTGTGCTGACGGGGTACTTGAGGTCGTAGTTCTCCAGGACGGTGGGGTGGAGGATACCGAAGGAACCGATCACGAGCTCCTTGCCGGCTATGCGCACATGAACGGAGGCGGCGTGGCCAGGGAAGAATGTGGGTTCTAGGGGAATTCGATTCGTTAGTGTTGCTTGTAATTTTTACAATGCCTTGACTTTCATGTTAGGGTGTAGCTCGAGATATACTCACCATCGAGCTCCTCGATCCAGTACTGCGAATCAGACATGGCGGAGTTTTCAAGTCCCTCCTCGCCAGTGATGAAGGCGCTCTTCAGCATGGCCATGACACGGTCCAGCAGACCGTGGACGACCTCAAAACCGCTGGTCTTGCCGTACCAGGCGGCGGCGAAGTGGCGCTCGTTGCGGCTCTTGCGCTCCAGGGAGAGATCCTTGAAAGCAACGTCGCTGACCTCAAAGATCTTGATGGGGACGGCGTGGTGCTTGTTCTCGCGAATGGTCTTCAGGAGACCGGGCAGCAGGCTGGTGCGCACAACCTGGAACTCCTGGGTCTTGGGGTTGGCCAGCTTGACCGCCGTGTTGCCATCGTCCTTGCGGTTGAGCCAGCCGAAGTTCTCGTCGTGCGAACACAGGATAAGCGGCAGCACCTCGGACCAGCCGGCCATGGCGGCTTCCACGCGCACAATGTCGGTGAGCTTGTTGATAGGGAGGGGCTGGGCGATGGTGCCGGACTTGCTGGGGAAGGAGCGGGGCAGGGAGTTGAAGCCATAGGCGATGGCCACATCCTCCATGATATCGGCCTGGTGGAGAACATCCGCTCGGGTGGCGGGAATATAGACGTCGAGGATGTCGGGGTTCGTCGTCGAGGGCTTAGCATCGTAGGCCATCTTCTTCAGGAGCGTGCAGATCTCCTCGGGCTTGAGCTCTAGACCGCAGCACTGGTTGATGTAGGAGACCTCCGCCTCGGCCTTGCGGGGGCTGATGTCCGGAACGACTCGGGTTTCGTTGTTGTGCTCGGAGACGATCTTGATAGGCTCGATGCTGTATTGATTGTCAGTGGTGGGCTCCGCACGACATGAGATGGAAACCTACGTGAAAGGCTCAGTACAGTACTGAGAGAACATGGTGACCATCATACGGTTGACAATCTCCACTTTCGTCTTATCGAGAGCGGTAATCTCGATGAGGACATTCTTGGTGTCCAGGGTGATCTTCGAGTGATCGCCGTTGATGATGGGGGGCAGGGAGCAGACGGTTCTCTTCGAGTCGTAGATGACGGGGTAGACGGGGTGGTCCCGGATGATGTGCAGGTACTTGCCGAGGTGCTTGTCTTTCTATTCAGAGAATGAGTACTGAGTCCGCTGGCCAAGCCCGTAGCGCCATGAGTCATACCTCGTAGAAGTTCATCAACTCCTCACCGTTCATCTCCTTGGTTTGGTTAAGAGGGGTGAACTTGATGTCCTTAGGGGGTAGAGCCTCGTAGGTGAAAGGTCCCTGGATGGTGTCGAGATCGTGGGTACCGATGGACACGAGAGTTCTTTGACGCGCCAGGTTCTGGTGGAGCTTATCTTGCAGGGCAATGAAGGATTCATAGCGCGCTTGGTCGAACTTGACGTTGCGGAGGATGGCACCAGACACCAAAGGACGGACCTTCATGGTCTGTTCCATATAATCAGTGCCCGATGCTGGGGGCGCAGGTGCTCAATTGCGACTTACATCCTCCTTGACGATGATCGTCTCGAGCTGTCCACTAGCAGGCTCAACCAATTTGTAGTTCGGAACCGGCTGGCGGCCCAAGAAGATGTTGAGCATGAGGGCAATGCCCTCGAAGCACAGCATGTCATACCTGCGACGGTCTCAACATATGAAGGTGTCTCGAGGGGGGTTCTGGATGCATACCGGTTGGCGGGGATCTCGATCTTGAGTTGAGGGGGCTCTTGCTGTCCATTCACGATCGGGCGGTCCTGATTCGTAGTCTAGTGTCCGTAGTTTTATTAGAATCTGAATGCATATCTGGAGGAGAGCGAAAAGGGGCCTTTACGTCTTCGTCAAGTTCGACACCTAAGTGTGAACAGTCAGTACATTGCCCCGCCATGGCCGATCTGGATCAACTTACCGAACTCGAAGCAAAGCTCATCGAATTCCTCGGTGGTATACCTGCAACAATTGAGTCAGATATGCAGTCGAAAGGTATGTGAGAGGGCGAAGGAAGTGCATACTCCCGTCCGAGCGCCTCGAAGAGGGCGGCCTTGTCGACCGAAATAGTGGGCATGATGAGGGGTTTGGGCTTCGCAGCAATGTGAGGAAACTGTGGGGGATCAGATCGAGTTGTACCAGCCTCCCAGAGACCGAGAAATGACTGTATAAGATCAGACCAGGACGGCTGCCGCGAAACAGGGGTCAGCGAAGAAAGTAAAGGGAGGGAGCGTGGCTGGATGCGCTGGTCGATAATCGTAGAGTCATATAAAGTCTTTTTGACTCTTCGCTCGCAAAGGCGGCGACGATTCGGATGGTCAGCCACACTTCAATCTCCTAGCCGCACCGCCACGTGCCAATTCACCCCTCCGTCACCGTCACCCACTACCTCACCAGCCACAGCCCATGCTTCCTTGAACCTCCCTCTCTCTCTCCCAGCAAGTCAGTCGGTCCGTCACTTTCGTAATCTCTCCTTCAGCTACTAACTGTGTTTCCACCCACCAGCACCAAACCTACTCTCTTTCCTGTTCATCTGTTGACTCCCTTCATACGAGCTTCTACTGAGCTTCACAGTTCATTTGGAGTGAATTCTGCATCTCCAACTTCTCATCCCGTCGCAATTGTTGAGGTATGCCGCTACCGCTGCTATTATTGCTCAAGTGTCCTGCGGCGGCCCAAACCCCACGAAACCTCCTCCGGGGTTCTTCCTCACCACTCATCACTCACTGCTCCCATCCTCCCTTTTCCCATAGACCACCCACCCAAGACCTTCCCCACCCGACACTAATCCATCCGATCTTGAACAGGTGCTCTCCATTCTTTGGCCCCTGCTAAAGTCGCTCCTCAGGTCCAGAATCCCCTTCCCCTCTCGAGAAAATATTCGACGTGTTCGCGTGCGAGCGGGTCGGATAATTATCGCCTGAGCGAGGACGTGGATCGGTTATAACCTCACCTCTCTGGTTGTCGCTCAAACACTCAACCCGAAAAGTCTTATAATATAGTCGCGATGGAGGGTCAGGGTGAAAACGACGAGCTCTACCCTATCGCCGTCCTTATCGACGAGCTGAAGGTATGATAGTCACCATTGACTCCGCTATTGTCCCCACGTGCGGGCACTGTCGGTCCTGACACTTGATCAATCCAGCACGACGATGTCCTCCTCCGTCTCAATGCTATTCACCGCCTCTCCACCATTGCCTTGGCTCTAGGGCCCGAGAGAACCCGGGAAGAGCTGATCCCATTCCTCGATGGTTAGTCCCCAATATGCGAGAGATGGACGGTGTCACATAGAATGCGCCTAACCTTGTGTTCACAGACTCTGTCGAGGATGAAGATGAGGTCTTGACCGCGTTAAGTGAGGAGCTTGGAAACTTCACAGAATATGTTGGTGGCCCAGAGTACGGGCATGTACTTCTCTCCCCCCTCGAGAATTTGGCCGCTATCGAAGAACCTCTGGTCAGAGAGAAGGTACGGACCCGCGAGCGCTTTCACTAGGATCTTTAAATCCCTGTTCGTTTTATGCTGATGGCTTTGCAACCAGGCCGTAGAATCTCTTAACAAGATCGGAGAGCAGCTTTCCGAGAAACAGATCGAAGAATATTTCATTCCGATGGTTTTGCGCCTTTCGAAAGCCGACTGGTTCACCTCGAAAGTTTCCGCGACTGGGCTCTACTGTGTCCCATATAGGAAGGCTTCGCCCACACTACAGCAAACCCTCCGCCAATACTATGGAAGCCTCGTGCATGACGACACACCGATGGTGAGAAGACAATCAGGAAACAACCTCGCCAAGTTCATCAAGGAACTGAACACCCAAGTTGTCATCGATGAAATGATACCCTTGTTCCAGCATCTCGCCACCGATGAACAGGATAGCGTGCGGCTGCTTACTGTGGATGTGCTCATCTCGATTGCGGAGGAAATTCCCAAGGAGCAGCAGCCCAGCCATGGTGTTCTTCTGACTTCATTGAGAAATCTATTCGAGGACAAGAGCTGGAGAGTCAGATACATGGTTGCCGACCGTTACGAAAAGGTTTGTTGACTACCAAACCTAGCCCAGCCGCAGTTGACTGACAAGGGACATAGATCGCCAAAGCCGTTCACGAGGAAGTTGTTACTCGTGACATGGTTCCTTCGTTTGTTAAGCTTCTGAAAGACACGGAAGCTGAAGTCCGCACCGCTATTGCTGGCCAGATCCCAGGTATTAGCGCCGCATCTGGTAACAATTTCGATAGCTGACTCTGGAATAGGCTTCTGCAGCCTGATCGACCGTGATACATTGCTTAATGAGATCATGACGAGTGTTGAAGATCTTGTGTCGGATCCCTCTCAACACGTCCGCGCAGCACTGGGAACTCAAATCAGTGGCCTTGCACCTATCCTTGGCAAGGAGGAGTAAGTACATATGCTTGACTGCGAGCCTTTTTACTTCTTCATTAACGCTACTTAGGACTACTGCCCATCTCCTTCCGATGTTCTTGCAGATGCTCAAGGATGAATTCCCGGATGTTCGTTTGCACATCATCTCCAAGCTGGAGTTGGTTAACAAAGGTGAGCGAGTATACGCCATGACAAGACATAAAGTCCATTGACTAACCGAACCAGTCATTGGCATTGACCTCCTGTCCCAGTCTTTGCTGCCGGCTATTGTACAGTTGGCTGAAGACAAGCAATGGCGTGTCCGACTGGCCATCATCGAATATATTCCTCTGCTTGCCAGCCAGTTGGGCGTCAAGTTCTTTGATGAGCAGCTGAGCGATCTTTGCATGGGCTGGCTCGGCGATACAGTCTTTTCCATCCGTGAGGCTGCCACCACGAACTTGAGGAAGCTCACAGAGGTCTTCGGCGTCGATTGGGCTAAGGGATCCATAATTCCCAAAGTCATGGCCATGGGCCAGCACCCCAACTACCTCTACCGGATGACCACGTGCTTCGCCATCTCCGTACGTGAACTCTTGACCTCTCTCAAATCTAGATACTAACCTCTGTGTAGACTCTTTCCCCAGTTGTATCGATGGATATTATTGAGAACTCAATTCTTCCCATCTTGGACAGACTCGTGTCGGACGAGATCCCGAACATCCGTTTCAACGTTGCCAAGTCCTACGCTGTATTGATCGATACCCTGCGACGCCTGCCGGCGGAAGGAACCTTGACAGAGCTCGAAAAAGTAGGACAAACTGCCACCCCGTCGCCGCGGGGTCAGGAACTCATCCAACAGAGAATTCTCCCTAGCCTGGAGAAGCTGCAAGGCGACGATGATGTCGATGTGCGGTATTTTGCGACCACTGCCGCTGGCGGCCACGAGGAAGTTATGCAGACTTCACCGTAGGCTTAGCACCATGAGCGCGTGAGTGGGTACTAATATCACGGCACTCGCGCGGATTTGGGTGGAATTCCAGTTTTTGTCCAACTTAGAAACAGTCAGAAGAACCTGGCTGGTATGAAATGCTTGATGGCGTTCTCCCTGTAGAGTCTTCTTGGTCGACGATCAATAATCCTGCAAAATCAGATCCCGGTACTTTTTTTTTCTTTACTTCGTATCATGAACCTTGCTGTCTGAGCCCGACAGGCAATGGTGTGAGTGAGTGAGTAGTGATATGGGCGTGATTAAGCTCGGTGTCCTATAAATCATGTGATTCCACGTATATTTCCGTAAAGCCGATGGCGCAATTAGTTTTCTAACCACGTTCACGTGTAGTGTTCCTCTTCGGCGCAGAAGAGCAAGCTGGATTTTGACCGTTGTTCAATTGCTCACTTCTCAATTCCACCCCTTGATCTTCACCCTTTGCGGTTGTCCACACCATGACTCTCTCCTGGCCCTGGCATTTTATCACTCTCTCCGATGCAGAGAAGGAGCAGCGTCGTGAGCTCCTAGACCTACGGGGGTCTTACGCTCAATTCTCAATGCTAATAGCCATTGTTCTGGTGCGGTTGTATGTATGGGCATCTCAGCCTGGATCGGAGCCCTCCAAGCCCAACCGACGCAAGCCTTCACCCAAGTCTTGGCTGGACTCTTCCCCCTTTGTGGGATGGATTGAGACGCGGCGACAGTACCTAGTCTGCTCAGTGTGGCTAGTGTGGCTCTTGAGTCTCTGCATCTGGAATTCTGGTGAAGGTATGGCTGTTTCCTCTTATCTATGTTATGCCTATAGTCTGAAGCTACATCCGTGATATTACCATTACCGAGCCTGTGATTTGTCGCTCAGCGGATAGTATTCCCGCCGCTTAGGGAATATCACAACATGGATACACAATCAATGATTATAAACGAATTGCAACTGACTAGTTTCCAGACTACCTTCACCTTACCAAGTCCCTTGGACATGTCGCTCTCTCCCAGTTCCCTTTCCAGGTTCTGATGTCGCCGCCCCTCTATCTCACCTCCAAACCGGCCTCCCCTTCTCTTATCTCCGTGCTTACCGCCATCCCCCAACCGACTATAAATGCCTATCATCGGCTCTTTGGTCGGCTGGTTATTGCACCCCTACTGTTTGGCCATGCACTTCTCTACGACTCCTTCTTCCTGCAATCCAGCCACCCGGACTTCGAGGTCTTGTTTCTGAAGCGTATCCGCGATGCAGACGTCCAGTGGGGCATTCTGGGCGTGATTGCGGTCACATCGGTGGTGCTATTTGCTCGTCCAGCAGTGAAGCCTCGGTGGGCTCTGAGTTTAAGGAGCGGATCTGGATCGGCTAAGATGCGACAGCAGGTCTTCTGGGCGGTGCATGTTGGCTTGGTACTGATCCTGGGGATTGCAGCGTATTCGCATGTGGAGTGGGCCAGGATGTATATGATTGAGGGCTTGGTGGGGAGTATGGCTAATGTGGGTTGTGGGCTTTTGCTCTGAGTATGGTCATGTTGTCGCTCGTGGGCCACTCATGGTAGGCTGGGTCTCGAGCGTGTGTGCGTACAACATAGTATGTCCTTGATTCAGCTCCATCCGGCTGCGAAGCATCATGGTGGTGGAAGTAATTGAAGTGCGGGTTCAAGCGAGCGCCTTTCCCCATCGTTCAAGGTGGTCTCTGGAAGGTTGTAAATGTCAATGGGTCAAATCAGCAAATAGCAACAAAGGCTGCATGTCCAGGCTTTTTCTTCTGAGGCGGGTCTCTTCATTGGCTTTGACTTGCCTCTCTACCTTTCACCATATTAATTATGAGAAGCTTGCTCCTGCCTTCGGTGCCAGTGACGTAGGCACGATTTCGACATATAGGCACCAGGAAGCTCCTACCTAAACTGTAGGTGAAAAGAGACCGAATTCTTTCATGACAAGGAATGACAGAGAAAGCATTTGTCGCAGAGACTGGATAATGACAAGGCTGTCAAATGGAGATGGTATATACCGACAAGACCTAGTATTCTTCGAACAAGGTTTAAGTTCAAGATTGGAAACAAGATCTGGGCTCGGCCTGATTGTACGGGCAACCGATGGGCCGGGCCTACCTAATCTTGATTGGCCTATGCTTCAGCCTTGATCTTGATTGCCCGAGGGACCGCCTGGACCTACTAGTACCTTGCCAACACTCCGAGTCGTTTTCTGATGTTCACCAATTGATTGCTCTCGAGTTGAATTCTCTCCTCCAAAGTATACCTATTATAGTATTATACTGTCTGAAATCGCCTTTTGTGTGTGTATCAGCGACCTCAATTGGGCAACATCTAGCTGTGGACAAGTGTGTTGACACTACGCTAAATTGCCATCTACAGTACTTCCCTGCAGTGTTTACACTATATAAACAAAGCCACAGCTGGGTATCGACCAAAGCTGAGGTCGTCCTTCTTCGATGCACGACATCTGATACTAACAGCAGAATGCGATCTCAACGGCTGGTAGTCTGGCTAGGAACTTTCATCCTTGTTTCAATCGTTCTAATCTTTGTACGAAGCTCCAATTCCTCTCCAGACACATCGAGCTTTTCGCCCTTGCCTGATCCCCGTCCATCAGCCAATTCACAACGGCCCGAGGTCCCGCCAAACGAGCAGCTTCGTCAGCAATCAACGTATCACAAAGCCTCGACGCCTGCAGGAAAACATCCGATCGCTGCATTAAGCGAGGCTGCAGATCAAGAATGGGACCAAGTACAGTCCCGCCAATCCAAGACTCTGTCCCAGGCTGTCACAGAATACCGCCGCCGCTATGGAATGCACCCTCCACCACACTTCGACAAATGGTTTCGTTTTGCTCAATCCAAGGGGGTCCACTTGATCGATGAGTATGATACCATTTACCACTCCCTCCTCCCGTTCTGGGCCTTGAAACCGGAGACTATCCGCGGGCGGGCCCGCGAGACTCTCGGCTTCGACAACTCCATGATCGGGGTCTTGATCCGGAATGGGACCGTTACTCTGGCCGAGGGAGGAACCGAAGAACAGAAATGGCAGCGGGGTGCTACGGTGCAGATGATCAAGAGCTTTGCAGAGTGCTTACCCGACATGGATCTTGTGTTCAATGCTCATGACGAACCACGAGTGATTGTCCCAAGTGAGGACCTTCAGCGGCTGGTTACGGCTGCCCGAGAGCATGCTATTCCAGATGCGTCCCTAAGTGAGACGCCGAAGAATGCATGGTCCGATCGACCTTCGGACCTGAACAAAGGCGACCGTATTGATGAGGTGCGCACCACGCGCTTCAGTCGTTTCTCGCATCAGTCAACATGGAGCTATTCGCGATCGTCATGCCCGGTCGACTCTCCCGTCCGCTCGCTTGATGAAGAGCCGTTGGATAACATTGACTCCTACGCTCAGAGCGAGCTAGGATTCATCGCGAACACGACTGCCTTCTCGGACATCTGCAACACCCCTTCTCTGAAGCATACATACGGGTTCTTCGATCGGCCCAACACGTTCGAAGTCGTTCACGATCTGTTTCCTGTCTTTTCTCAGAGCAAAATCTCCAGCTACCAAGACATACTCTTCCCGAGTCCGTGGTACTATGCGGACAAGGTGCCTTACGAGGCTGCCCAGGACGTCAATTGGGACGCCAAACTGGATAAGATGTACTGGAGAGGGTCTACCACAGGAGGATATTCCCGAGCTGGCGGCTGGCGGCGTCAACATCGGCAGCTGTTCGTGCGCAATGTCATTGCTCGAGACACCGCCAAGGTACTCGCTAAGCAAGAGGATGGCGAGTGGGCATCCACCGGGATTGACCGATCATCCCTGGACGACTTATTCGACATTCAATTTACGTACATTGGCCAATGTGATGCAGAAGACTGCGCAGCGCAGAAGGAATACTTTGGAGTTGCAGAACCCGTTGACCAGCAAGATGCATGGGCCTATCGACACTTGGTCGACATCGATGGTAATGCCTTCAGCGGTCGTTTCTATGCCTTCCTACGAAGCAAGAGCTTGGTATATAAGATCGCAATTTCTCGCGAATGGCACGATGAATGGCTCAAGCCTTGGGTTCATTATGTTCCATTGCGGATAACCGGAGACGATTATCTGGAAGCTGTCCGTTACTTCGTCGAAGATGAGGACGGGAAACTCACAGCCTCAAAGATCGCTCAAACCAGCCATGAGTGGGCCCATAGAGCACTTCGCTCGGACGACATAGAAGTCTGGTTCTTCCGATTATTGTTAGAGTAAGTACGCCCTTCGTTGCGTGCAATGGCAGCTCCTGATCTTGATGTGTGTTTTTAGGTATGGCCGTCTTGTCGACGACAACAGAGGGCGCCTGGGGTTCTCGCTGTAAGATGCGTGTGCCCGTTGGTTATGATCCTCTCATGTCATTTTATACCTGATGTACTCATCTGTCTCATGATATCCCCAAGTGTTTTTCTTAGAGTCCCCACGGAGAAATGAACTGTCCTTCGTGCTTGTCTTCCCAATTTGCGGAGATATGCATACCATGACTTCATCAGAGTAGACGGAGCTTCCACTTCATATGTGGGTTATTCGCTCAGCAATGCAAAAAGGTGGTGCATCCCGAGTGAAACAAGCCCCGGGGGCGCCGGCGATTATTACGTAGTGCATTGCAACTTTTCCCATTGAAAATCACATGTGGGCGGGTTCGAAGTGGGCAACGGCGGGTCCACGGCGCACCATGACTGGCAGCGGCGGACACTGCCCTAACCGCCTATCCACGGGTGGTTCATTTAGTGCCCGTTAGGCTACTAGGAAGGGAGATTAGGAGCTTCCCAGGGTCTTCTTCCCTTCTGCAAGATTACTTACCTCGGAGCTTTTTCTCCCTCAATCACCCTTATCTACTTTTCCCCATCGGACGGTGACTTCTTCTCTCCTTTCCCTCGAGCTTCTTCTTCTATTGTTCGAAAGTCGCTGTACAACAATTGTCCCAGCCCGCCCTCTGAAGCCCGCCTGGGCAGACCAAAGTCATACTTCAGTCAATCATCATGGCCTCGATACTCGGATTCGTGGGATCGGGTGTGATCTTCCTTTACGGACTTTTCAGTCTCGGACTCTATGGAATTCGCGCTGTAAGCAAAGGGTATTTCTTCAAGAAAACCACGGAGAAGGAGACACTCGAACTGCAAATCGGTAAGTGATATTCAATAACGGCCTCGTTTCGGAGACTTTTTGTCTTGCGCAATGCTCACTACGTGGTTGTGGCTCCATCGCAGCTCGCAATCGACTCTGGGACCTTTCACAGAGCTTCGCAGGCCTTCGTCACCATATCCATACTCTGCCGAGCGGGTTCAAATTCCACTACGTCTGTAATGACGGCCCCGGACAGCAGACCGCCACCGACCCACAAAAGCCGCTGGTTGTGTTCATCCATGGATTTCCCGATAGCTGGGCCATCTGGCGCCATCTTCTCGCCTCACCCGCTCTTCAGCATGCGGCCACTCTGGTTGCGGTCGACTTGCCCGGCTATGGTGGCAGCGATCGGCTTGATCGATACTCAGCAACGAAAGTGCTCGAGAATCTGACGGAGTTCTTGATTGCGATTCGGGCCAAGTACGGAGCTGACACGGCGACCGCGGCGCGGCAGCGTAAGGTTATTATTGTCGGACATGACTGGGGCTGTGTGCTTTCGACTCGACTGGCATCTGAAGCTCCTCAACTGGCGGATCGCTTTATTCTGACTAATGGACCAATTGTACGTTTCCCTCTTGAATGGGTCGCATTTTCATTCGAGCTAACAGCACGTAGCCTGGTCTCGCCCGGGCGAACATCGCCCGCCGACTCTCTTCCTCCCTTAAGATGCTCAAAACAGCACTGCGTGATCCGATACACTCCCGCGCGACGCTTTGGAAAGTGGCCCAAACTCTGCAGCCCGTTGGTCGACAGTTGCTCCGCTCCGGATACATCTTTGCTATGAAACTACCTTTGTCCCTGGTTCGGTATCTGGGCCGAGGCGGAAACTACTCATTCCTGAAGCTTATACACCGCGCATCGTATGGTCAACAGGAGTTTTCACCTCGGGATGCCGCAGAGTGCATGGCTAGTACTGTAGGACCGTCCGTGGCTGAATGCCAAACCCAAACTGCGGAGGGCGACACGTATCCTGCGTTCATGAAAGAAGACCGCGGGCAATTGACCTTCCAGCATATGACCGCCTACTACCGGGACAACACAGCGTTCGCGCGCTGGAACAAGTCAATTGAGACGATTGCGCACCTTCACGGCATTGAAGACGCGAATGCGGCCCACCGCACCAGCAGCGGTGCTGGTCTGTTTGCCGATGGACCCAAGGGGTCCCTGAAAGCTAGTGCAACCGTTATTTGGGGGAAGGCCGACATGGCCTTGGAGCCTGCCGTGTGCCTGGATGGCATTGCAGACTACCTCGTGCGAGACAGCCAAGTTATCGTGGTGCCGGGTCTGGGCCACTTCACCCCATTGGAGCGTCAAGGCCAGCTTGCCTTGGAGAAGGCGATCGAATGGACCGTGAAGGGTGAGAAGGAGGATATTGGAGCTGTTTTGCAGAAATGTTCCCCCAAGGCCGTGGTGACTGCTCGCAAATAGACATGGATAATTCGACAACATACTGAAGCGGGTCCATGATTGATTTTTGAATCTTTGGTTTGCTTGGCTTATCTGTCGCTAGGGATTGACTGAAATAAGCTGAAATTAGTCTAGGCTCCGGTCTATACGACTACAATCTACCTATAATCAGACTAGTGTAGTCTGAACCTTCTCCCGCATGGTTACTTCGCATCTATCTATTTTTTTTTTTTTTTTTCGAATTGCACGGGGAGGGGGGTTCCGTACGAGAAAGCTTCCGAGCTCGGGGGAAACCTGCATCTAACCAAGAACAAGGTGCTGCAAGGGGGTGCGGAAGAAAGTCAATTGAGATTTCGAGATTGAGGTCTAGGTCTGTGCTACACAAAATTCTTCCCAGCGCTGACAGGATCGAAAACGAAATCTAATATTATGATGACTATTGTTATGATTATGAATTGATTAAAGGGGCTTGGTGTCAAACTGGTACCGTGTCAGGGCTGGGCGTGAGCGGGGGTTTGAAGGCACTAATACTAACTCAGGGAGAGTAGTATAGTAGAAAGAGAGAGGGTGAGAGGGTGAGAGAACGAGGAAAGTGACTGTCGGCCGCGTGCAGCTAAAGCTGCGCTGAGCTGAGCAGGTGAGCTTTAGTGCTGTTCCTAGTCTATTATTCCCTGTTCCCACTTCCCACTTTCCCGCCCCGTCTTCTCCATCTCCAACTACGTACAGTACTTCGTACCTGTCTGTCTCTTCTGATCTTTGCGCATCCTCAGCACGCCAGTGCAGCTTTAATTGATCTCAGTCGTGTCTACTTTTTCCTACACTCGTTCCAATTCTGCATTCCTCATTTCAGTTCGTGTTCTGTCGTTCGCTCTATTCGACGGAGTATGGCGTGGTGGTGGTAGAGCATCCGCACGGCATGCTAATTGGGGAAACCGTCTGAGTGTTCGTCTATGCGGGCGGGCGGGGTTGGTTCCTTTGGCTCCTAACGTCAGTCAGTCTTTCGTTTGAGTGAGGGGGATCCTCGTTATCCTCCTTCTCCTCCTCCGCACCCGTACTACGGTACCTACCACCCAGCCAACCACTAGATTAACTAAGTGAAGTAACTTACTGACGACGACCCCGGACACAGCACCTCGAGAGGTGCACCTCGTGCCCCAAGCTCCTTGCTCCTTTTCCGTCTCTTGTCTTATTCTTCTTCTCCTCTTCTTCTACCTTCGTTCTTGTTGTATTTTGTCGCTTTTCTTATCGCCATACTTTTACTCATTGCTGGTCCACTCTACGGACTGCGCGGCGTTGACCACTACCCGCAATGGCGCTCGCCGAAAGCGCTGTGTACTGCACGGTATGTTTGTTCCCTTACTACGACGGTACTTCCCCGTTCCACTTCCGTCACCCAATTTACTGATCGTCCGTTATGACTCCTAGCTCCTGTTGAGTGATCATTATCTTCCGGGTATTCTCATGGCGCCTTCTTGACCAACATACTGCTGGAGTCGTTCTCTCTGATTGTCCAATCTTCCTTTCCTATAGGTGCCGTGGTTCTTGCACATTCCCTGCGCGACAATGGGTCAAAAGCCAAGCTCGTTGCGCTCTACACGCCTGATAGCTTGCAGCCGGCCACCGTCCAGGAACTTGAGGTATGCCTTTCGCACATCAATTTCATGTCTTCTCTTTTTGAGCTTTTCATGCAAAGATCGTCCATCGCTTCGCATGGAACGTCGCTAAAAGAGTCCTTGACCTAGATCGTGTACGACGAAATAATTCCTGTGAATCCGCTGACCAACCTTACCCCGGCGAATCTTTGGCTTATGGACCGACCGGACCTTATTGCCACTTTCACCAAGATCGAATTATGGCGCCAAACACAGTTCAAGCGCATTGTCTACCTCGATTGCGATATTGTCGCGGTCAGAGCTCCCAATGAGCTTCTGGAGTTGGATGTCGACTTTGCGGCCGCTCCAGATGTGGGCTGGCCTGATTGCTTCAACAGTGGTGTCATGGTGCTTCGTCCCAACTTGCAGGACTACTTTGCGCTGAGGGCGCTTGCGGAGCGAGGCATCAGTTTTGATGGCGCCGATCAAGGGTTGCTGAACATGCACTTTCGCGATTGGCATCGGCTGAGCTTCACGTATAATTGCACTCCCAGCGCCAATTACCAGTACATTCCGGCCTATAACCACTTTCAAAGCACTATCAGCATGATCCATTTCATTGGTGCTCAGAAACCGTGGAATATGGGACGACAGGTGCAACCCGTGGATTCACCCTACAACAAATTGCTCGGACGTTGGTGGGCTGTGTATGACAGCCACTACCGTCCGGTCGTGAGCGTAAGTATCTGAGTTTCGTGCTCAAGGTCCCGATGGCTAATGGCTGTACAGATACCTGTTGATGTAACCGGGAAAAGGTTTCTGACGGGGGAGACTCAATGGGGAAGCACAACGGGAGATATAGCGGCGCTGACACATGGCCAACATTATTCACATGCTCAAGATTCTGCAACTACGGTTGCGCCTGCCGATACGCCGCGCTCGCAGGAACTACGCCCAGGACAAGACACAGAGCCTTTCTCGGAGCCTCAACAAGCAGCGCCAACTGAGAGTACTGGCCCGATTCCTCATTATGCACCCTATGGCACTTTTGAGAGTTCGGATACCCATGTTTCTCAGCAGAAGCCTATCGAGTCAGCGGGAGGAGGAACCCCTCATGGAAGTACATCATCGGGCCCAGAGCAACACACAGCTGGACAGCACGGGGAGTCACATTATCACGAACCGCATCATGATCTGGGTCGACATGACAAGGTATACCAAGAGACACCTTACTCGGGTGGATCCTACCATGAGCCAGGATACCAGGGTGCTCGTACAGCAGAGGAAGAAGCACATCACCGGGACAGATACCACGGGGGTGAGCACGAAGAAAAGTCACATCACTCTCAGACACATCATTGGGAGGCGCAGCATGAGCACACCCACTACGAAACAGGACAACATGAGGCAGGTCATCACGGCGAAAGTCACCACGAGGTAGAGCATCAAGAGAGATATGTGCGCGTACCACCTCCTTTTCGGAGTGCGGTTCCGCAATACGTCCGTGGAGAAGAGCATGTAGCGGCATATATCCACCCGCACTCTCATCAGACCACCTTTGCTGTACAAATCGAACCAACCTTCCAGAGACAAAAAGGCAGTGTAACAGAAGCCTCGCCAAGGCCGTGGCAAGACCAAGCCCACCATTATCAGCAACCAGCAGAATCTCTTCCCGAGTCGCAACATGGTCCACCGTCACTCAAGCCAGAAGCACAAACCTTTGAGCCTCCGAAAGCCGAATGGGATGCATCGAGGTACGTCTGTTTGACGAGGAGCACCATTTATTGGAAATGTTACTAACTTACTGTAGGGAGCCCCCACCATTGAACACTAAACCAGAGGGCTTTGCTTTGGAGACGAAAACATACACCATGTCGGAGGACCAGCAACTTTTCCAACCACCCCCGTCCTATCCGGAAGCGCCCAAGAACATGTACTATGAAGTGCCTACCAAGAAACCGGAGCCAGAAAAGCTTGCGCAGCTGTTCCCTTGGGAAAACGATGCTCCCAGACCGACCCGTGTGTTCCCTGAAGACGATCAAACCTCGATAAGTACTATCCCGCGGTCTCTGCTGGAATCGACAGAAGGAGGTCTTGGCCAATCGCCACAACCTCGAGACACGACTTGGACATGGACTTCTGAAGAGCCGGCTGAATCGTGGGAACATTACACTCGTTCCAATGCATGGGATGAGGTACCAGAGATTCAGCGCTATATATCTTCGCTGCAGCAGACTCGCAAAGGCCGGGTTCAGGTTCTCACGGGAGGCTCTTCAAGCACAGAAGCAAGGGATGTGCGAATTACGGACTTCCCCAGCGAGCAAGAGCGACCCAGCCTGCCCGTCACCCCAGCGCCCATCCGTCGGCGGTCTGGCGAACTCTCCCCCTCTGATAACGACCTACTACCCTCGGCAGAAGGCGTACCAAGCCAGGAGGACTGGGTGGGTATTACGGTCGATGCCTTTCTACAACTCCTTCGAGTGACGTACTTATATTGGAAATTTACAGAACCCTTCAGCCGGCCTCGAAGAGCTTCGAATACGTCGGTCCGAAGTCTTGGATCTTCCAGATTTACTTTTCGAGCGGATATTGAGCAGCAGATCGACTACTTCAGATCAAGTGCCTCCAAGCGAACGAACTAATGATTGATTGACTTTTAGCATCGTTCTAGCAATGTTGATCATAGTTTAGCCTCTTCTTATCCTCGCAGTCTTGCGCTGCATTCTGTTCTTGTTCTATTACTCCACCATGTCTTTCCGCAGTATGCATATTGTTCCTTCGTGATGATCATTATTGTTAAGCATTGGCATTTGTACAGTACCCCACGTGATATTATGCATGTGCATTGATAGCAGTGTAAGTTCTTAAGCAGGTGCAAAGTCTCAGACTGTCATATGCCTTTGCACGAGGAGTTGGTTTTGTGCTTATTATTATGTGGCATTGATCAGCGTCACTCTGTACTTCCATGCTAATTATCGGTCTAACTGCGTCCTAGTTCAAATTAATGAGTTATACTTCTACAAAACAGGCTGTTACCCTTCTGTTAGTTTAAGTAGCAATCTCGAGAGTATGATAATGTTCGGGATATGTTAGAACGAAACTCGAGCAATAGGCAATAGTTACCTCAGTACTAGTCGTTCAATTCCAAGTAGGGTTGATGCCTTCTGATGCCTGAGGCGGGAACCCCTCCATGTGACGTCCCAACGGACGAATGAAGTGGCGGGCACAATTTCAAAGATTGTATCTCCACCACCGTCGGACTCTTTGCGACTGACGTACCAACCAACCTCTTCACCAAGATTTTTGCTTCTTTTTTCTCGTCGACCACCCCACTGCCGATTAGCGGTCGATTTGCGCCAGGCGTTTACCGGGTAGTTCCACAAAAAGCATAGACTTCTGTCCTTTTTCATTCTACACTTTTATTTTTCTATTGTGCCGCATACGAGGGGTGAAACTCGTAACCAACCGCCAAAATGTCGACCACCGTGGAAAAGGTAGGATCTCGGCTCCTTGACGACCACCGTCCACTTCCCAATGCATTTTTGCTAACGCTTGGTACTCGTTCTAGATCAAACAAATCGAAGATGAGGTTCGCGCCCGTCTGCCCTCGCTTTGACGATAGCGCTGCGCCAGGACGTGCACACTGACTGGTTTCCCTTTCCAGATGGCCAAGACGCAGAAGAACAAGGCTACGGCCTTTCACTTGGGTAGGAGGCGATGATATTTGGCGGGCGTAATTTGCCAACTCGGGACGGCGCTGACGAGGAATCGTGCAGGTCAATTGAAGGCTAAGCTTGCGAAGCTGAAGCGAGAGTTGTTGACTCCGACCGGAGGTGGTGGTGGCGGCGGTGGTGGTAAGCAGTGATGGTGTTATATGCCCCGTGGAGAGCGCGCTTGACACTGACACGATGGTTTGCAGCCGGCTTCGATGTGGCCCGTACCGGTGTTGCTAGTGTGTACGTCCTATCCATATCGAAACGAAAAGTACTTGTGGTTGAGGTCACGAATAAGTTTATGCTGACATGGTTCTGGGGTAGTGGTTTCATTGGTTTCCCCTCCGTCGGAAAGAGTACTCTGATGAGCAAACTGACGGGACAACACTCGGAAGGTTGGTTTTTTCCCCCCTCTGTATGTCGCGCCTGGCTGGGCACATAATCGCTGACAACGACGACTTCGCAATACAGCTGCCGCTTACGAGTTCACGACTTTGACGACTGTGCCCGGACAGGTCATGTACAACGGTGCGAAGATTCAGATTCTCGATCTGCCTGGTATCATTCAGGGTGCCAAGGATGGTAAGGGTCGTGGTCGTCAGGTCATTGCTGTGGCCAAGACTTGCCATCTGATCTTCATCGTGCTGGACGTCAACAAGCCGCTGCACGACAAGAAGATCATTGAGAACGAATTGGAAGGGTTTGGCATTCGAATCAACAAGCAACCCCCCAACATTGTTTTCAAGAAGAAGGACAAGGGTGGTATTGCCATCACGAGCACGGTTCCCTTGACGCATATTGATAACGACGTAAGTTTCTGCCGTGGTTGGTCTTCGGGGATTACATTGCAGTCGCTGATGCAGCGCAGGAAATCAAAGCCGTCATGAGCGAGTACAAGATCTCTTCCGCGGACATTTCTATCAGATGCGATGCGACCATCGATGATCTCATTGATGTGCTGGAAGCCAAGAGTCGCGCCTACATTCCGGTCGTGTATGCTCTGAACAAGATCGATGCGATCACGATCCAGGAGCTGGACCTTCTGTACCGGATCCCCAACGCCTGCCCCATTAGCTCCGAACACGGATGGAACGTCGATGAGTTGCTGGAGATGATGTGGGAGAAACTCAACCTGCGCCGGGTCTACACTAAGCCCAAGGGCAAGACGCCGGATTACACGGCCCCCGTCGTTCTAAGAGCCAACGCCTGCACGGTCGAGGACTTCGTAAGGATTCTCCACATGATCAGCCCTTTCTGAAGGGGCCTGGACGTTCTAACGCGCCAAACAGTGTAATGCTATTCATCGTACGATCAAGGATCAGTTCAAGCACGCTATCGTCTATGGCCGTTCCGTCAAGCACCAACCGCAGCGTGTCGGTCTGTCACACGAGTTGGGCGATGAAGATATCGGTCCGTGCTTTCCCTCCTGCGTCTCCCGTCATATTGGGATCTCCAAAGCTAACTTTAGTGGTTTCAATACAGTGTCCATCGTCAAGCGCTAATCGAGTCCGAACGCCATGTCAACCCTCCTGGAAAAGGATCCGCCCCTTAAGCGGAGCAGCGCAGTGGCGAATCGTGCACTCAAGCATGGTCAACACAAGCCGACTGTGGATTAAGGGGAGAGGGGGGGAAAGGGGAGGGCTTTTGTGTTTCTCCGCTAAGTATAAAGCGCCCTCAAGAAAAGAGCCCGGCCCTTGTGACAGATATTTCCGTGAGATGGGCCATAGGAATTGTGATTGGGGGAGGAGGAAGGAAAACGGATTTGCGCACGGGCAGCATTGGAGAGAGCCTGGAGTCTGCCAAACGCCGCCTTGGGGAAAATCACACTCTACTCGCCAGGGAAAACCGCCCGGACCATGAGTCAGGATGAAGTCTTTTTCATCTTCGCCCCCCCTGATGATAGAGTATTTTGATGCGCAATCCTGGTTTAGGAAGACAAATGTCTGAGCGATATGATCGCTTGGTAAAAGGACGGATTGGACAGAGATAAAAATTTGAGACTGGACACAAGCTGGAATTGATTTTAGGGTTTTACTCATTTCTTGGGGAATAGCAAGTACTTTAGGACCTGCCGATATATATCTACTTTATTTTTATTTTTATTTTTTTTTTCTTGGTTGTTCCTCTCCTTAACGTGCCCTCGGGAGCTTAAAAAGAAACTCTGTTTGATTGTTCACATTTCCTCTTTTCCTCTTATGCTTTTCGTGAGGATTCTGGTGATCCCGTTTTGATGGTGGTGGGCATTGGTTCTAGATCCCCGATCCTGAGGACGATTCCCAGCTTGTAGAAAGTGTGTACAGTACAGTCGTTCAGCATTTTGGACCGGATGGACCGCTAATGACAGTGAGTGAGCATGACGTTTCTAAAATTGAACTTCAAGCCAAGTTTTGTTTTATTTTAGTCTGTATCCGGAAATGAGGGTACTCATCATACTACTCATACTGATATAATTTAAACCAAGAAAAAAGAAAAAAGGAGTTATTAGTTCTATCAAGTATCTATTTAGTAGCTAACTACTAGCTAACTGGCTACTAGCTACGACTAGCCGAGCTAGTGAATATGACGCACGTCCGTCCGCCAGTACTATAGTAACTTACCTAGTGGTGCTCTCCCTCCTTTCGCCGATGGTGTTTAATTTGAGTGTTTAATTGGTACTCTCCCTTTGTGGGGTTGTACAGTACTAGACGATTTGATTTGATTTGGCCTTATTCATCCAGAGGCATGAGAGACCAATTATCGAGTACTTACACGCTTCATATTTAATTACCCGTATCTTTCTTTGGGTTTTGATTGGATCTGAGATACCATTCCGACTCCGAATGAGGCCCAGGAGGAAGAGGAGCTGAGTTGAGGATCGGAACGCCGACGTATGCGTTGATCCTTCCCCCCCTCCAAAAAAAGCACGGATCCTTATAGCTAATGAGGTATGTATCCTTCAATATATCCAAATATGTTCCAAGTGGGGACTTGACTATATAGTAGTGAATCAGGGGCGAGGGGAGTACGGGTGTATTGGCCAGACACGCGACTCGATGTTCGGATGCATACTTTGGAGTCTTATACTTGTTGTGCCTGGCAGGTGGGTTGTTGGAGGGTGCGAGGGCCGGAGATGTGTGTTTAGCTTGCAGATGATAATGTGTGCTATTTTTTTATGTACTGTGCTGTAGGGGAGGAAAGTCAAGCATTTCTGCTCCTATGCTTTGGATTGGAGGTTGAGGGAGAGGGCTATTCCGCTGCTCATGCTCCAGCATACATCCTTCCCTAATCTAGCCCTCTCGCCCCTCACCATAAGTTTATACATGTAAAGTGATCGCTACGTTCGATTTATTTTGATTCTACTGGTGGTCGAATCTGTATACCATTCCAGGCCGGAAAGATACAGTAGTAGTTAGGTAGTAGGGGGGTTCGATCTCTTTCCTCCTTGACTTGATTGCAACTGGTGTTTGTCAATTTTGATTTTTTTTTTTTTCCCTTCGCGTCTTGCGGCCTGGCCCGAAAAATCAAGGTGAATGACAGATAATCATCTGAACTGATCAATCGATGGGCTCGAGACTGGGTTAAGAGTAAGTAGGAGGTAGTCTAGAGAGGTGGGGGAGGGGGGCTAGTTAGCTGGTGGATAGGGTAGCTAGGTAGGTTAGATGCTGGACTGGGATCTGATACTAAATCCATATGGTAAAAAATCAGTTGGTAAGGTATTTACCGGAATCTAGTATTGTTCTGTCAAGGTCGTGACAGCATTTGAACCTGGTTTCGGGTTTTGTTTCTGGAGAGGAAGTGTGAGGGAGAATCATGGGTTGGCCTTGTAGGGTCGGTGCCATTGGGCTTGGGCTTATATTAATGTTGTGGTTGTATTTGTAGTTGGAGTTGTAGTTGGGGTGTTGGTTGTGGTGTGGTTACTTTATGGTTGATCTCTGTACAATTCTTTGGGCAGGTAGCAGGTGGGGGTGGGTGAAGTTGTAGGTGGGCTCAGCTTCTATCTTCCTTGATACCATATGCTACTACTCCTACCGCTGGTTATACTACCTTAAAAAGCTACAACGTGAATTCTGCGAAATCGTTCCTAGGTTGCTAGGGAGCACTCCGTCATCAGCAACCTACCACCTGCGTGCCAGGCACAGCCAAAGCAATGATGCAAGATATAGATCGAGTTCGAGAAATGTGGCTGCGCGCTTTTGCTTCCCTCCATGTGTCCTGTCCTCGATCTACCCAGGTGCATTTAGACTGATCACAAGAGTACTCCGTACCCTGGAATAAAGAGTGCTATGCACGACGGTGGGAACTCGAAGGACAGGGAAGGGTTTACAATCCCTGGGGAACCGGGATATACTATCAAGAAAGAAGCGGTCTGCGGGAGTGCGCCAGGAAAAGACGCTGCCCGCGATAGCAGTTCCCGGGAATTCCAGGTCTGGAGTACTGTACATGTCGCCATCGGATGGATAGCTTAGTGTTTCTATTCTCTGTACTCTGTAGTCATCCTCCATGTGCTCCATGCGAGCTCTTGGTAGTGGGGTGGCTGTGGTGGCGAGATCGCTTGCCTTTGCTATGAAGAGTACACTTGGTAACTTGGTCCTCCGTAGGAAGCTGTATCCAATTAATTAGAGCAAAGCATGGCAAAGCATGGCAAAGCATGGTGGAGAACTCATGCTCTCTCTTTCGTCCACTCTCCTCTTCTTCAGACACGTTCTGTACTCCCAATGGTCTCATGTGGCCTGCAACTGAGGTGAGATTTTGCTGGTCAGCTGATCGATCAAGCACCGACAAACGTTGACTTCCCATTCCCCGGGCTGGTGGAGGCTGCATTGGAGTGCATATTCTTTTATCTGTTCCCCTCCTCTTTCTCTCATCCGATTTGTCACTGATAGCCTCCTCTGCAGTTGGTCAAGCTTACAGAGTCCTGAGTACTGTACAGACAGTACCTAGTGACATACTGTCCAGTCTTGCAACAAACAGCTTCTTTCTGACATCCCCATCGTCGATTCGTTCCAACTCCTTCCCTACATTTTTATCCTGGGTACCGCGGATGTCGCCGATGTCGTCCAGACCGAATACCGCCACACAAACCGCCATGGCTTGGGGCTGGCCGACCTCTCACCCTTTCCCTGCAAGGGCGAAACAAAGAAACTGCTCTGCGGTTGGATTTACAAACCGACAAGTTGAGAAATGCTCGGATTGCTTGAACCCGACACAAAAAGAAAGAGGGTGATGACGAACCCACGATGCGCGAATACGGGCTCGAGATTCTAGCTCCTGCATTGCCCTTGCCAGTTTGGGAAGAGAGGAGGGGTGGCTTTCTTAGAATCTTAGAATCTGGGCAACATCGGCTGCAGTAGTCTTGTTGGACTGGAACTAGTTCACTGCACCCTTCCTCAGAACCTCGCAAATCTCCACCCTTGGCCCTCAGATCTCCTCCTCCCTCAACTCACCGCTGCGGCGGCGGCGACGGCGGAGTTAACTGTCTGATGTCATCATCTTTTTTTCCGCGGCTGCGGATTACTTTCGTTTCAAGTTTCAACGGGCTTTATTCGCCTCCCTTGAACGAACCCATCGCGCGCATCTCCAGTCGGGACGTGCGTGGCTGCTTATAACCAGGGGGGGGAGAGGTTGGGCGGACACACCCGGACGATGGAAACGGAAGGATACTCCTACTACTGTACTCGACTCTATCTACCGACCAACCTGGCCAGACGAGCAAAGAACAATGCATGCCGTCGCAGTGAGACTTCGCTTCTGCAAAGTACCTGGCACACGTTACATCTGCGATTAAGAACACGGCAGAAGCCTCCCGGCATCTGCAATGGCTTTCCGTACCTGACAGATGTCGACTGCTCTGGCCTTGTAGAACGGTAAGGCTATCATGGCGCCCTCCAACGATCTCATTTGGTGCCTGACGTCGCACCACTTTTCCCAACCTTGTCCATGCAGAGGCCTGAGTCTCAGCAGATCCCATCGAGCCAATCAGAGCTCGGCCTGGGTAATCAATTAGCGCCCTTCTTTTCCCTTTGGGCCTTCAATTTTCGCCTCCCTTTGCCTACTTCGTTGTCTCTTTCTCCGAGCTCTCTGGCTGTCCTGCCTATCCAGGCCCTTTTCTTGAGTTTCCTTCTCCGGTTGCGCCGAATTTTAGCCACTCGGGAAGGTCCATCATAAGCCGAATGGACTGTGAGATGGAATGACGTATGTTCGCATTGCTTGTTTGATCCGCGCGTGCGCAGTCTAGAGTGGTTCCTTTACCTTTCTTGATTAATCAATTATTACCTCCCTCCAATGGACCAAAATTACCACGGGAATTTGTTGCCGATGGGACGGAGTTGGGGGGAGTAAGCACTCGAGCACTCAGCAACCTGGAAGCCAATCAGGTGACTGACGTCAGGTACCACCAACTGGGACAATAAGATCGGTCCCATGGAACTGCTGAAGCCATCGACTCCTTTTACTATGGATGTGGGGAAGAATGGGAAATGAGTCAATTGACCTAGGGATGAGCTTATACCAGATTTCTTTCTTTGAGATCAGTCAGACAGAAACATGTATTACATACAATCGCTTGGTAGTTCCTCATAATGATACGTAGCTCAGTTGATAGCAGCCCTCGTGGTCTCATCGGAACAAGCGGGGCGGATTCACCCAGCAGCTCAGAGTCACGTTTTCCCGCCTTTCTCCTCCTCCGTCCCGTCCGTCTTTCTCCAACTGCCCAGAGAGGCTAGAGAGATTAGGTACCTACATAGTACCTACCAAGCATGCAGCACGGAGGACTCTGCGCCTTCCCACTGGTACTGATTCGGTCCTATTGCAAGCCCCGGTAAGGCTGCTCTTGCATTAAAGACATGTCGGATGCCGTGGAGACCATCTAGGGTATACAGAGGGCGTGAGGGAGGGTTGTACGGCTAGGTGAAATTTTTCTCACGTGTACCTTACGGAGGAGACCTGCAAATTCAAGCAGCTCAATTACTGAAGTCGGTGGGAATAGATTTGATAGATTTGGGCTAATTGGGAGATTATTATGATTATTATTATTACTCAGTACTATCTCGAAAATGTCGAGTGGTGGGTAATCTTGAGTGATCTCCTGCCCCAATTAGTGGCAGGTCAATGATACCAACTTACCCAGAGCCTAGAGGTTCCCATGCTTGCCATGATTTGCAGTGGCCGGAACACTAGACCGGAACTAGGAGGAATTATACAGTAAGTACCCTCGAATCAACCATACCCGATCGCTATCTTCACGTTCAATCACCCACCCTTCCCAACGGAAAGAAGAACCTTGTCGGTGGTGCCAATATGACAGCTCCAGTTGTTCATGACTAATACAATATGAGCAACTTTTGATTCTTCATCATCACGATGACCTCGGCTTAATTTCGTTCTCCTGAATTCTTTTCAACCTCTCCATATTTCAAGCAAATCAGTCATCCAGCCGATCGATCAATCGATCGAGATTGGATCAATGCCTCGTTTTGTGTTGAACGATGAACATGGATACCTTTAGTTATGGATATTGCTTAGGTTGCCGGGCCGGGGTGGACCACTGCGGGTACCAGGAGTGGACCGTGGGGGGAGGGGGAGGTCAGAGCTCCCTTCTTTTCCTCTTTCTCACCTTTCCCTTTCTCGCCTTTCTCTCTCGCTCTCTCCTTATCGACCTCATGTGCCGACGGGACTTTACCCAGTCAAGGGAAGGAACCGATTCAAGCCTGCTTCAAAGCCTGGCCGAACCATGCCGTCTGTGCTCATCGTGATAGGGTGAAGACCCTTGTCTAGTCTACGCACCCGAATATGAAATGAAATCGACCTACGACGTATCATTCGCCCGCCGTATCTCCTGACGGGTTTTCGCGTGACAAAGTACGGTGCAGATCGCCTTTTCCGCTGCTCTGACTGGAGTCCTGATTCAGATTGGGCCTTTCCGAGCTGCCATACAGATTCCATGGTTGAAGGATGAGATGGGTCGTCGGCTCAGTCATCGTCTCAATAATAACGAGCTCGTCTGTACGGAGTACTGTACATGTACACGAGCTAGTATCGGAGAGCCCACACTTAATACCGGCACGTCCCAGGTGATCCTACCTGCCTCCTCCGTAGAGGACCTCCCTCCTCTAAGAAGCTCGGAACCGAAGGCGAACTGACGATGCTCTCACTACCGCTTTTCCCGTCCATTGGTCTCGTTCTCCCCGGGGCTTTTTCTCAGGGCAAGCAATGCCTCTCTCCCGAGGATCCGTGCTCTCTGACTAGGGGACTTCTTTCTCGGCCCCCCTCCTCATCTACTTACCCCTGGCCCACTTCTTCACTCTGAATCTTACCTTGGCTTTTGGTCAGCATTGAGCAGTAAAGCAACATGAGCCACTGCGGGAAAATCCCCACCACTATTCGGGGGGAATGAGATACCCACGTAGACGGCTAGGCGGGGAGGGGAGGATAACGCCGTTGAGAGACCGTCGCTTAATGATTAACGATAGTGAGAGACTATCGAGTATGGTTCCGCGCCGTCTCCCAGGCCCGCAAAGACTTCTTCCTGTATGTCATGCGGGCATTTAGGTTCAGCGGTTCTCGATCCGCTCCCCGTCCGTCGATGGGAACCATGGTTGATCAAGAACTCTTTACGAGAGCGGGCATCAACCATGATTTGCGTCCCGAGGCAGATCTCCTCTGTGCCATTGACGGATTCTCATACATAATGCTCATCCACTGGGACCGCCGGAACCTACCGTATCTTATGGCGCGGTGTGCGGGATGGTATGTCCCATCTTTTGTATCCTCGGATGAGGAGTTTGTTTTATGGAAAGCAATACCCTCCGGCCTACGGGAGGCATTGTGCAAAAGCAGGGCTCCACGTAAGATCTTATAGTAGTGCGGGCAGAGAATAAGTGCGGCCGGAGTAGGGATGGAAGGGAAAAGGAGGATTGTTCATGGACGAATTGATCGACTGTTATCCTTCATCGAGTTTTTTTCTGGATCCAAAGGGCCCCCGATTTGGGAGCCATATGGTCTGCGGTGGGAGTCTGGCTCCACCTGGAATCGGAGGAGGGGGTGTCATGCCTTCTACTTAGTGCAGGCTCCGCCTGGACTGGACTGTGAGGTGGGAGAGCTGGGAGAGGGGGTGAGTATTACCCCTACCTAAAATAGTATGACGGCAGACCGACAAACGGTGGTTCGGATACCTGTAACATGTCTTGCTGCGTAAGTTACTCCACGATGGAGAGGACATCAGCCGGAGAGGATGCTACTTCAAGCTCAAGCGAAGCCTGAATGTAACCTCTTCCCAGCCGGACATAAAAGGCATTGGAAGGGAATTTTATGGATGGGGGATGAACCCGGAGAGGGGGGGGAGGGAGGAAGGCTTGTGGGTGCAAAAGAAAAAGACCAGGAATGGCTGGAACCGGTCGAGAGGAGAGAAGCTGGAATTACTTACTTACTGAAGATTACGGAGATTACCTGACACGAGGTGGTACGGAAACGATACTGTTAGCGGTATTTGGGCCCGAGAGTCGATCCCTGTCCCTCTAATCTAGATCTCGTCCAATCAGAGCACGGACTCCCCACTACTTCTCTTTTGCTTTGGATTCATTTTCAGTCCTGGCGTCGAGCTGACCAGCCAATTGAGAAAAGCAATGCAGCCTCTCTTATTCTTTTTTCTCTCCGCTTTCTCTGCTGGAACTATCAATCTGATCGGGGTATACATATCTTAGGTTTCATGCGTCCTCGTGTCTAGCTGGCTGCAACCCGTGGAAGCCAAAGAAGAAGGCGAAGAAGCACACCTTATGATGGTAATAGAAGGGGGGGAAAGCCTGCCTGACTAGTCTGGGCAGGCCAGATATGAATCGGCCATGGCTCCAAAGCGAGCTTCCTCCGAGGTCCAGACTCGCGTGTTCTTGCTCAAGCTGCCTGACTATCTGTCAATCAAACTCTGCCGTAGTTAGTTCTATACAGACCACCGCTATAGACCGCAAACAGACATGGATAGGAATGGCAAGCGATGATGAGGAATTCTTAGATGGATCGATGGACGATACTGGTAGATGGATGGATGGATAGAACTATGCAGGTCTGGTCTTTTGGTCTGGAATAAATCAAGCGCAGAACAGCAGAGGAACAAATTCGATCAATAATACTACTCACTTATAATAATCAATCAAATAAATAAATAAAACGGAATAAATCAGAAGAGAGTAATTGAAAAAACATAAATCAAAAAAGAAAAAGAAAACTTAAAAGTACTCCCGAACGGAGACTGGACCGTTGATGAATTTACGACTTGCCCATTGACGACGCCTCTTGCCATTTGCCTTTTCCTTCTTGGTTTCTTGGTCTTCCTTCTACTGAACCAAATACTTACGGACTGTAACTTACTGACTGCAATCACTCACTCACGTCTATCCTCACTTACCTGCTACTACTTACCGTACTTACTTACTCACTCACTCACTCCTCATCTTCCTTCTTCTTTTTCTGCTCCTCCTCCTCTCCGCCAATTAATTGGGATGTACAACAAGCTAAGACAGTGAGCTTCTCCGGTCGTTTCCCTGATCGTCCCTGCGGTGCCTGTGCCCTGGCCCGACCCTTTTTTTTGCACTTGTCGCTCGCATTTAAAAACCTCCATGCTTTCTTTACCCACCCGCTGCGCACGCTTGACCCGCTTTCTCGCTTGAAGGCGACTGACTCCTCTACTACTGAAATCGATTTCCTTCCGTCCTGGTCTATCCAATCCATGTGAAGTTGTATTGTGCAGTCGTCCTCTTTTCTTGCCCCCCCCCCCCCCCCAAGGTCAGCTAACTCTTGGTCATCTTCTTGGGGTAGTCTATCCTATCAGACGCCAATTGTTAAGGGTGCGCAGATCTGGTGGCTCTAGCAAGTTGATACATGCCCGCTCTTCAGCTTCCGTAAGCGCAGCTCACTCGTTCCTCCAGTTCGAGTCTGAATATGCATCACTTTCTCCCCTTGTCTCGGCCCTAGACCGTCTCTTTGACTGGCTTCCCACCCATCATTGCTTTTTCTCCCAGAGCTATTGATCAGATCTCATTCCCCGGTTTCTTGATTCTTAAAATCCCTTCGGGGGTGTCTGATAGACAAATATCTTTGTTTATCACCTGTCTCAGTGCCACCTCCACTTCTTCTACTCCCCCTTACCCCCGCCTCCCCTGATATACTTCTCACTCTGTCTCTCATTGTCTCTCTGCCTCTTCCGTTTCAATTATTTTTCCTTGTCCTACCTTACCTTCAATATGGATACGGAAAGCACACATGCGCAAGACAATGAGTTTGCGCAATCACCCTGGGTGGATATGGGCGGTTTCAGTCCATCCGAGCATTCGCCCACCCTGGACTATCAGGGATTCGGATACGGTGTCTTGCCTATCGACTCTTCCTACGGAGTCTCAATTCCACCACCTTATGCATCATTGCCATTGACCATGACCTCCAACACATGGCCCAGCATGCTCACAACCCAGGGGCCTTTCCCGGATGCAGCGATGCCTGCAATGCCTCTACCACCGCCACCTCCACCACCACCATTGCAGCAACCCCAGCAAACGCCCGCCATCACCTCTGTTACACCTGTCCCGCCACCGCGCAAGTCCTCGACCAGTGGCTCCACCCCACGGCGGACCCTCACCGATGAGGACCGTCGACGAATGTGTCTCTACCACGAGGAGAACAAGACCGCCAAGCAGACTGACATTGGAGGTAAAGTCTTCACGCCATTTCCTGATATGAACTCCTCGTCTAACCGATCCTGTTGCAGCACTCTTTGGTGTCGAAAGAAGGTAAAGTCCTCTGTTATTTCCGCTATGATTGAGGCGGTCAAGCTTTCTCTAACACGGTTGGTTGAAGTACTGTATCGAAAGTCCTCCGTCAAAAGGAGAAATACCTCAACCCTGACGATGGCACCCGATCCCCCATCAAGCGGGCCAAAGGGCGAGTACCAGACATTGAGAAAGCCTTGTCTAACTGGGCGAAGAACTATCAAAAAAGTGGGTACCCTATTAACGACGAGATGATCCGGGAAAAGGCTCTTTTCTTTGCCAGCACCTGCGGTAGTCCCGATGGCAAAGAAAAGGTATTGAGCACCAGCTGGCTTGAGAGATTCAAACGCAAATACAATCTCATGGGGGCCAAGTCTCGAAAAGGCTCCCTCAGTGCCAAGAGTGACTCGGAGAGCCCGACCTGTTTGAGCATCAACTCGGCATTGGCTTCTGCTATCCACTCTCCGACCGTCCTCTCCCCTACGTCGACCACCGGATTCCTCAGCCCGTCACCTCTGTCCCCAATGCAGAGCAATGAGAATATCAGAGCGGAGTTCGCGCACAGCCTGGCCGAGATCACTGGCGATTTCCAGCATGCGCACAGCCACAGTACCACTTCCCTAGACACTTCCTCGACGTTCTCCGCTGGTATCACGAGTCCAACATCCACTCTGGTTACCGACAGCCCTTTCACACCTACGAGCCAGTCCCTTACTTCGCCAGTGGATGGCAACTCCAACCGACCCCGCAGCCAGACCTTCCCATTGGGCTCAGCTGACCCCAGCCTGATCTCTCCAGAAGAAAGCGAGCAGTTGACAAAGGCTGCTCTACGACAGTCTATCTTGATGCAAGAAGCTACTTCCCTGGAGGAACAGCAAGATCAGAAAACTCTGCCGGGATTGGACACTTCGGTGGGCACAATTAAACGAAATCGCAGCAATCCAGAGATCAAGCCCAAGACCACATATCCGCCGCTCTTTTCAAAATCTACTAACGCTTCTCCCATCAGTTCCCCGGGATCACCCAGTCAAGATGAGGCCAGAAAGGCTCTGGAGTTGGTCATGAGCTATCTGAAGCAACAGCCGGCGGGTCTCGTGGCGGAAGATTATCTTACCATTGGGAAATTGATGGAAAAGCTCGAGCTCACCAAGCCATCGCAAGGCACCCTCCCGGGTGGTCTCACTCGGATTGATGAGCATGACGATGTGCCTACTCTGAACAAGAAACGAAGCATTCACAGTATGGGTTAAGCCGTACCCATCGAGATCGACAGACTCGCCAGAGATGCCACTACTCAGCCTAATGTATCATCATTCAAAGTCACAGCCCCGAATTTCGAAAGTGAAGAGATACGACCTGCGGCATCGATAGTACATATTGTTTCTGTTTGCTTTCTCTTTCACGTTTAATCTTTTTCTATGGGATTCATTGCAGTTTCCTTGCCTTGGCACCTTGATATCACTTTCCTTCTTTGCTCATTGGGAGGCTTTCTGATTCTAATAATTGCATATCACATGCTATGTTTGGATGGTTTTTACTGTTTTCTTTTCCCTGTTTCCTTTATGTCTCCTTTTCTCACTATAATCACACTGGGGGTGGGGATGGGACAGGCAAAAAACTATTACGTGGGATAAACCAGAAGAGGGCAACCTCAAGCATCATATGGGCTCATACATACTGGAAAGGCAACTCAGGGGAAATATGGGGTCATGAGGGAGAGGCATGACCTACGGTGTTTGGTCGCGCATACCGAAATTTGTTGTCTCAGTGTAATATTTATTCGTCTACTGGGTTTGCTTGATATTTGGATGTTGTTGCTTTAACTCGAGCCAGAAGACTCGAAGTCCGAATCTGCATCGCTTTCCGCAGGTATTTTCTTCCTACTTCCTTTGGTCATGCGCTTTCTGTGCGTGTATGTGCGCGTGCCAAACCCTATATTTCCGTCTTAATCCAATGACCCCAGTCCCATTGAGAGTGGCAAACATGGACCGGAGCCCCGAGGAGACGGGGAAAGGGTGTAATAACAATAGTTCTTTCTAGTAGAGGGAGCATCCCATTGGCTCGATTCCTGCCCCAAACAGATCAATTTTATTTCGACACTCAAACCTTTTTGTGAGGATAGCGCGCAGGGGCTCACCGCATCCTTCTGGATGTGATTTCAAATCGATGTCATTTGTTGGGGTAGGGAGAGGGGGGGGGGGGGGGGTGCTTGTTCTGTGAATGCTTTTCGGTCATAGGTAGTGTAGTGGTCTCTAAGCGCCGTGTCCCCTTGGAAAGAACGCCCGCAGTTGAAACCTTGAACGGGAACCCTGGTTCGGGTCAAGGTTCCTGTGGGGCAGGGGGGGAAAGGGGGGGGTGTACACATATGTTAATGGTTCCGCCACCAAGTTACGGGCACCACCTAGCTAGTCTAGTAGCTAGCACTTAGTTACCATGATGTATGCCTGGGCCACCAGTCTACTAGGTACACCGGGCTACTACCTCAGGTACCCAACTGGGCAAACTGAACTTACCGTACCGCCCAGACCTAACCCGGCCCAGCCTCAGGCTTCAACATCTGCCTGGCTGCCTGAGATGCCTGACTACCACCTGTGTACAGCGTACAGCCTGAGATTCCTCTCTACCTGAGACAGGCTACTACTGCATAGTATGTATGTATGTATGTTCCTCGCCTGACGTAGCCCTGTCTTCGCCCAATCTCTTTATCCCCAAAGTCCTGCCTTCTCCAAATATCATAGGCACAGTACATACTCTGGACTGACCCCAAGATCAAAAGCACTTGATGCTTCCTGCCTGCCTGCCTGCCTAAGCCAGCCTGACTCTGACTACTACTCTCTCAAATACGATCATGTTACGCGTGGACATTCAAGCCACCGTCACACCCAATCAGATGAATTATGCTGCAATAGGAGAGCTGCTGGGTACAGTAAAAATGTTGCCGGGGATCGTCCGCACTGCTTTTGGACAGCAGAGACCGTATCCTTTTTTTTTTCTATCGGTGGTTGTTGGGCTCTTGGTATCCCGGATGCATTCGACGAGGGCCGATAGGCCATGAAGTATGGAAGCCTGGACCAGACCGCAGCGAGGCGAGGCGAGGCGAGACCAGACGAGGCGAGACTTGGATCTCCAAAGGAATCTGTAAACATCAATCTAGACGTAGATGATACGGGACGGGGAACAAAACGGAGCCCCCCCCCCCCAAATCAGACTATGGCGTGGGCGAGGCGAGTCTCAAGCTTGGGCGATGTCCTGTGTACGAGTCAGGACGGGCAGGGCCACAAAGGTACGGAGGGTGCCTCATCCTGCCTAGACTGTGCATATCTACGGTACAGTAATCTCTTAGAAGGCTGGTGCCAGCATAAATGAAGGAACGACAGGTATGACAAAGCCACTCTAGTGTGAGGTTTAAAACGAACAGACCCTCACCTCCCACTCTAACCTCGTGCAGTTCCCAAATATCATTATCATTAGTTAGCACTCCACGAAAGTTAATGTAGACTAAGAAACAAAGATCTTCAATGCAGCGAGTACGCCTCGTCTACCGATACTCTATAAGGAAAAGGTCAGTGAACTTAATTCGGGACGTCGACCGACAATCCCCTATCCTCTATCAACTCAGCAATACTACGTTCGGATAGCTCTGGAAGAAGACTGGTGAGAATGGCTTCCATGATAGAGTAGATCAGGTGTTTGTTGCAGTAGTCGTCGGAGAAGAGGTCGAGAATCTCCTCGATACATGCGAGAAGATATACCTCTTCCGCATCGTCGATTGGTGCAGGCGACGGTGACGGCGATAACGAGGATGATGGCGAAGTTTGTTTGTTCGACGGCACATCATCCACTTGACCATGAGTCGACAGAATAACGGCCGGGGCGGCGAAGAATTGCCGAACGATTGGGCGAGGCACCCGAGACAGGATGCTGGCCGCGCAGCGTCGCTTGACAGATGCGAAATCAGGCGTAGAGGGTCGCGGGTCCGGCGATAAGGGCGCTGTCGATGAAAGACCAGTCGTTGAGACGCTACTGCAAGCGTCACTTGCGCCAGCGATCTCGCTAACAGAGTCGTTGGTGATGGGGATAGTAGGCGTGGGAGGTTGCACAGACAGCTGCGGAGCCGATACCGCCGTGGTCGCCGCCGCCGGACGAGCGTTCAGTGGGAAAAGTGCCGCTCTGGTCGCCAGAAGCAGGTTTGGTAATAAAGCGGGGGTGAAAATATAATCCTGGATGGTCTCGTGAAGGAACCTAGTAAAGGCAAATGTAAGATAACAGCTAGGAGCAGGGATGAAGGGGGTCTGAAAGAGCATCGGAGGCGATCTGACTTCTAAGGACGGTAATGGAGGGCCTCGATACTGTGGAGAAGCGGTTGACCCCGACAGACCAAAAATGTCAAATGGTAGAGGGATCTGCCTGGCCAGAGGCACGACGGAAGAGCATGGACCACCGATTGGTGCGTTTGAGATACCACCAGTAATCCTGAATATGACGGCAGGTTGGAAAAAGAGCAATGTGGATATTTGTTCCCCGGACAAGAGAGGTGCAAGGCAGCTCATACGTTGGAGAACACGGCATCTCCCCTTAGCCTCTCCCGTAACGTGTCCATATGCGCCATAAGACACAGCTGGGATACAGACTCAGATATTCGAGCGCGAGGGATTTTGATGATTGGTCGAAAATTATGGGAACAGGGTAGCAACTTGCCCTGTCCCTGCAAATGCCCCCGAAATAAGCAGCCAGTCAATTGATGAGTGGAAGCATGATCTTCACAAATGATTTGCGGTGGTCACTTAGTGTTTGTTTGTGGCCTAAAGGCTAGGGAGCGTCATTTGCCTGTGCAAGGATCACTTTAGCCTTTCCCCCAACTAGCCTTTCGAAAGGGGTGTTCAGATGGTTCAGACCCATTCTCGAGTTTCTTTGTTCCTCGTTGTAGCATTGTTTGACAGCCAGGCCGTGCGTGGGAGAGCACGGGACGGAAGGGCCGGTCCCGTCCCTCACCGGCCATGGAAAGGCTGGTGCACTTCATGAGATGGGGATAGAATGGTTGACAGGTCGCAGACTTTCCAAGATCGACCTGACTCGGCATGCCCGACATTCAGTCAGAGTAGAAATGGCATGACTTGAGTAGGAAGTGGCCGAGGCAGGGCCCGGTCGCGATTTGTCAATCAAGTGATTGATTGACTGGTTGATTGATGAAGAAGTGTGAAGAAGAGACGGGACCACCGGCTCGTAATGACCATTACGCGGGTGGTATATTAACCGTAAGCGCCGGTCACGGTCTGTAATGACAAGACCACCCTTGCACGAGCGAATCAGGGCCAGATTAAGGCACATGCAGAAGTCGGGCTGTGCATCCACCAGCAGATCAAGTGATCGTTGCAGCATGCGAGCAATGCGCATCTCATATGCATCATCGACGGCCCATCGGATCCTGCTCCGTCATCCTAATATCCAAGTAATGACCACCAACAGTGCCGCACGACTTGTCCACGCCAGTGTAGATCATAGTTCGGAAATCGAACCGCACCGCTTCTCCACAGGTCAAGAACAACCACCAATTTGATTTTGTCGGCGTCGAGAGACCATGGAAGTGCTTGGCAGAAGAGGGGCGGAGGGGTGCGAGAACTCAAAATAAACACGCAACTCACCTATTGAGAACACTATCGGTATCACCTAATCTACCTGGACCCGCCAGGATCAAGTGTTGAACCAGCGCGAGACATCCCCCAAGCCATGGCATCCGCCGAGGTACATCTAGCAGTTGAGCGAGCATGCCGTAGAGCCGATAATTGAGCACAGGTCGCTTCCTCGAGCTCGTGCACATGCCAGTTGTCTCAGTTGCTTTGCTGATTGGTGAAGTGGAAGTCCGAGACGAAGGCGCCGGATTTGTCGATGAAACACGAAACAAACCTATTATAATGAAGTGCAAGGCCACATAGACGGTATATCCAAATTGCAGAAGCTGCCACGCCCAATCCGGGATTCGTACTGGGGTCTGTGGGTGTGACGAGCCTTTCAGCAGCTCCTCCCGCGATGAAATTAAGCCGTACTCATGTAATCGGGAACGCTGACGGGACTGAGCTGTGATTGCATCCTCCTTGTGACTGTCGCGTCCGGCATTGTCTACCAATTTTGTGATACTCTCCAGGATGAAACACCCGTCACTCATTTTCCCGGCCACTCCATTGCCCAGGATAAGATCTGCCATGATATCGCATAGCAAGGTCCGTAGACAGACGTTCTCAAGATCTTCCGTGGGAAGAAGAATCGCAAGCGCTCCTTGTACCAGCAATTGCCTGTATATGGATTCGGCTTGTTGTTGTCGTGTCATGCTCTGGGCATCTGACGGGCTCGGAACTGGTGAAAGACCTGGATGAGGATTCAAGGAATGATATATCTCGCGAAGTGTTGGCGATAGTTCACACAGCTCCGACTGCTGTTTGGCTAGCCTGTACGCTGAACCAGGCCATCGATCGAGTCAGCCTTGGACCGATTATACAAGATCAATAAAGGTGGCAAAATGCAACCACACTTACAACTGATATGCGTCTCTACCAGTGCTGGAACCTCGTCGAGTACTAGCTGTGCGATGTCCGTTTCGCGCACCCTCTGCTCGAGCGCCCGGGTGCAGTGCGCGATAACCTGTATGAGCTCGTTGATGAAGACCTGATCCGCCGTGATTTTTGAGTACCAAGAAAGAACGAACTCCTTGACCACGATGGCAATTAAGGCGTAGAGTTGAAGATCGAGTTCGTTTGAGCTTGTCAAAGGGGGTAGCAAGTCCTCTAGAGGTGGGGGCGTGGAAGCACCGCCATGGTTACCCGGCTGCGGACACAGAACGCGTCGGATCAGAGCAATAGTTGCCTTTTCGCTTGTGGAACTAAGCGTCTCATCACGGCCGGATACCTTGGATGGTTGAGGGCGAATAGGTCTGGGTGATGGTGGCTGCGACAATAGCGAGGAAGCTGACAAGGCTGTCGACTTGGAGCTGGAGGTTGTCGGGCCAGCCTTAAGTTGCGACAGTGGATGGAGACCCGGGCGAAGAGGGTCGCTGGTCATTTCATTGCCAGTGAAGAAGCAATACCAGCTCGCTAAAGTTCAATATGTACAGAGTGAAGGATCCTATTGCAGAATCTTCAGACACAAAGTTCTATCAGCTAATGCCAGCGCGTGATGGAGAATGATGTTGATGAAGCAACTGCGACAGCTGGAGGGGAATGACCTACCTATGCCGCCGCTATTTCCTAATGCAGAAGATAGGGTTTAGGGCTGCTGTTGCCCGCGATAAGGCTTATCGCCGCCGCATCTCTTATCGCAAAGTCCCCGCATCCCAACCCCCGTTGTGGTTCATCTTCTTCATCCCGCAAATTAATCCTACTGAGTCACTGCCTGAGCTTTTAGCTATTCCTCAAGCAACTGATTAACTCAATGGCGTCCTCAAAAGATACCCCAATTCCTTTGTGGCTTGACTGTGACCCCGGTAAGCAGTTCTTCTCCCAGTTCGCAACATACTGCAGACCTTCCTTCAACGCCTGTATGGCCAACTTGGCTGACCAGTGTTTATAGGTCACGATGTAAGTGCAAAAAATCCCGATACCTTACAATGCAGAGCACTTCACTCACTGACTCTCCGGTGAACGTGCTCAGGACGCTTTTGCCATCCTTCTCGCCGCGCATCATCCCTCGTTGAAGCTTCTCGGTATCACTACCATTCATGGCAACTCCTCCCTAGACAATACCACAGTCAACGCTACCAGGGTTCTGGAAGCTATCGGCCGTTCAGATATTCCTGTGTATCCTGGAACCAAGAAGCCCTTTTGTCGGCCCGCGGTTCACGCACCTAACATCCACGGTAGGTCTAAAATAAGGTTGGCAGGTTATAAGCCTCACAATGCTGACTCTAACGCTGCTAGGCGACTCTGGAATCGATGGAACAGAGCTTCTCCCCAAAGCCACCACGGCTCCCATCACTGACAAGAACCCCATCCTTGCCATGCGCGACGCGCTCTTGGCTGAGCCCAAGGGAACGCCCTGGGTCATTGCCACCGGCACACTGACCAACGTGGCCCTGCTGTTCGCTACATTCCCGGAAGTGGTCGATCACATCCAAGGACTGAGCATCATGGGAGGGGCTGTGGGTAATGGTTTCACCGATGTTCCTATGAGTAGGATAGAAGGCCAGCACGACCGGATTGGAAACGTGACCCCTTTCGCGGAATTCAACATCTATGTGCGCAATTTCCATTATGCCCGCCCTTCTGCTCTGCATTAGCTGATAAATCCTCTACAGTGCGATCCCGAGTCGTCTCAGTCCATTTTCAGTAACGCCACACTGGCATCCAAGACGTACTTGATCGCCCTTGACTTGACTCATCAGGTCCTGGCTAGCCAGAAGGTGCGGAACCTCGTCCGCCACGGCGTGGATGATGCCTCCGTTCAGCCGTCGACCCTTCGACAAATGCTGTATGAGCTTCTCATCTTCTTTGCCTCCACCTACGAGAATGTGTTTGGGTTGGCCTCGGGTCCACCTCTGCACGACCCGCTTGCCGTGGCTATCATTCTCTCGAACTTGAATCCTCTCTACGCACAGAACCACCCCGAAAAGGCTCTGAAGTTCGATGACCGCAATGGGGAGCGGTTCGCTGTTAACGTGGTCACCAACGGTCTTCATTCAAGCAATATGGAGCTGGTTGGACATCTGGGTCAGACCGTTGCTAAGCCTGCGCCGAACGCGGTTTGCATTCCCCGGGGTGTCGATCTTGATGCTTTCTGGAACATGATCAACGATTGTCTTGGACGTGCAGATGAGCTGAACGCTGTGCGGAAGGCGTGATTTGGCAGTGCGAACTATCGGCTTGACTCCAGACTGCACCTCGGAATATAGATGGACATAGAGATTCTAGTGCTAGATTCTTTTCTCGATAGAATTTTCAATTGGAAAGCATCTTTCTGTTATTTCGGGATATATCCTCAAATTCATCGCTCAATCTATTCTGTCCTTTTTTCCACAATGTATGACACACTACCATTCGCGGATTCCACCATCGGAGCCATAGAACTCCTTCGGCAGCCAGGGCTCTGCATTCGCGGCCACTCGTCTTACCGTCTCCTCATCAACCTCAATCCCCAGCCCCGGCGCTGTGAGAGCGTCTACATATCCATCTTTTACCGCAAATACACTCGCATCCTTGACGTAGCTGGTGATATCGTACTCTCCCGCCTCTGTATTGTAGTGCATGCCCAAACTCATCTCCTGGATGACAAAGTTCGGCGTCGCCAAGTCAACCTGCATGCACGCGCTCAAGGCAATAGGTCCCAGCGGGCAATGTGGCGCAATCGCGACATCGTAGGTCTCCGCCATGGAAGCTATCCGTCTCAGCTCCGAGATGCCACCGCAGTGGGCGATATCGGGCTGCAGAATGTCCACGCTTGCATCCTCTAAGAAACGCTTCACATCCCAGCGACTGTACAAACGCTCCCCAAGCGCGATCGGACACGAGACCTGGTCGGCGAGCTGTTTAATCGCCTCGGGGTGTTCCGAGAGGAGCGGCTCCTCAAGGAATAATGGCCGATGCGGCTCAAGTGCCTTGGCCAGTTGCTTCGCCATCGGTTTGTGGAGTCGGCCGTGGAAGTCGAGGGCTGCGTCCAGGCCGAGCGCCTTGACGGTCTTCAGACGCTCGACGCTGGAGTCTAGGACGCTGGGAGAATCGAGCCAGTTCACATCCTCTGTGGCGTTCATCTTGATGGCCTTGAACCCCTGAGCGAGACGGGCCTTGCCGGCGGCTTCTACATCGGAGGGTCGGTCGCCACCAATCCACGCGTAAACGGACAGTTTGTTGCGGACTTTGCCGCCAAGAAGTTGGTGGATGGGGACTCCAAGTCGACGGCCCTTAAGGTCCCAGAGAGCGATATCGATTCCCGAAATGGCGGACATGAAGACTGGGCCGCCTCGGTAGAAGCCTAAACGCCAGGACATTTGCCAAATGTGTTCGATATCACTATGGAGGGAGGGTGGTTAGGGCGTACAGCGCTGGCGCTGGTGTAAGAGACTTACTCGGCCTCGTAACCCTGAAAACGCTTGCATAGGGCGTTCAAGGTGCCCTCCACGGCCTCGGTGTGCCCTTCAAGGGTGCTCTCACCCCAGCCATAATTGCCATCTTCATCAACCACCTTGACGAATAGCCAGCGTGGAGGGACACGGAAGTACTCAATCGACTTGATCTTTGCCATGGTGAGACCTGTGTCTGGACAGACTCTATGTGTGAAGCTGTGATTCAGTGGTTGCTAAAGAGTTGAAAGTTAAGCAGACGACAACAGAAATAGGCATGGCTGTAGGGAGAGGTCGGAGTTGCTCCGCTTGCCAGGCCGAATTACCGACAAATTGACCCCAAATGGGGTATGGAGACACCATACCTAGTCATTTCGTGCTGTTCTTGGCATTATTGCATCCGAGGCTCTGGACTTCAGCGGCCAGAAGATCCATATCAGATCTAGGAGTGTGATATGCTACCCTTAGGGTGCTAAGTGGGTTATTGTCTTGCATTAGTCCAACGATAAGCTTAACCGCGGAAGCTCCTCAAATGCAATATGCCTCCACCGTTATATCGGCTTCTGATACAGAAACTGGAATTAGATATGATCATGACATCATGGAGGTGGAAGCAGAGAGGTAGGAGGAGAGTTTTGACTATCAATCAGATGATGGTGATCATGATCGTCGGAGAGACTCGGTCGATACGAGAAGCAACGCCAGGTATGTCTTTGTGCAGCTCCATGACTTGTGTCTTTGTGCAGAGAGAAGAAACGTAGATGTAGAGCCCAGCCCTGAATGGAGTGGATAGAGTCGAGAAGTACGACTATGTAGTGGGGAATGAATTGGAGAAGCCAAACCCAAATACGAGTAAATGTTGGGGAAAGAGAGAAAAGAACCGGATACGGCAATCCAGTGACTCCGGGCGGCTTTGCGACTTGCTCCGCATTCGACTCTGACTTCATCTCCAACAAACAACTCTCTCTCTCTCTCTCTCTCTCTCCCTCTTCTCCTCGCTCTCCCACAACTGCAGCGTCATCGGACTTTCCCTCGACCATTTTCCAGGAAATCACTTGGAGCACTACTGCCAGAACTCCCCTTCAAAAAGACTCGACCCCGCCCAGTACATGCTCGAGGCTCAAATCAACTTTTCCCCTTTCTGGCGGGCTGCCTTTTCGCCGCCACTCCACTACCACCTGCTTCTCATCGCTCTACCAGATCATGCCCCCGGCCAACTCGCCATCTGTATGTGTGCCTCTATGCGATCTGGTTGATTGTCTGTTATTGCTTGGGTATGGAGAGATGTCCAGAACATGACTCGGTTCGTTGGCCGTCTCGCTCGTGCATACAACCAATGACTGAGCAGCCATTATCATCAGTTGACATCCGGCCCTATCGTGATAACAGATGGGAGTCTTAATCATACAATAGTTCTTTCAGACAGGAAGCTTTTCTTGGCTAAGATCTAACTTTCGACACACAGGATCCCTCCTCCCAGTCTTCTTCTGCTTCCTCCCTGCGGCCTGTCCCCGTTCCTGTACCCTCTCTCCCCGCCTCTGTGTCCGATGACGCCCATGATGATAACGTGAGCTTTCTGCGATCGCGTGTGCGCCCCCCACCCGACTCATCTTCCTCCCTCAGTCGCCAGCGCCGTGGTCGACTACAGAATTTACACAATTTGATAGAATCCGATCTCGCATCATTCGAATCGGAAGACTTCTCGAATCCGCGGATTGAAAGCAATCGTCGCATCCCGATTGTGCGCCGCCAGCGCGACAGTCCAAACACCCACCACAGCACAACCTCCAATCCCAACAGCTTGCCAAACTATGAGGGCAGAATGTCAAATCCGCGCTCGCTTTACGGATGGGCACCCGCTTCTGACGATGACGACGATGAGGAAATGAGCTACGAGCCGCTGCATGATAGCAATGCCATTTCCTGGTTTGGCCGCTTTTCGGAACGATATACTGCCTTCCGCGATCCACGCCGTGAGGCTGCCGGTCGGAGTCCACCCACAGCGACAGAAGAGTCGACGGAGAACAACAATCGTGCCTCGAACGAATTACCGTACACCATGGCAGACGCTTTGGTGCAGTCAATACGCCGCCAGCCACGCCCCCCGCGGACTAGGACCCTACAGAATTATTTGGTTGAGCGGGAACGTGCAAGTCAGGCAGCAGACGAACTGACGGAACGGTCTGGCACCAGTTCCACCTCACGAGCATATCGATTCTTGCCCAGCATTCGCAGCGAACCCAATCGACCCCTGACACACAATGATCTTCGTGCTCGAATCAGTGCTCATCGACAGCTACATATGGATAACGCTCCAAGTCCTCGGTTGAAAGAGACAATCCGCTACCTGGACCGGCTACGTTATTCGACCTCGTTCGAGGAAAGCTTATCATCAGCCGCCGCGGGAGGCTTCGTTCACCTCGACTTTCTCAATGGGAACGAGGATGATTTTATCATCGACACTGCATCGATCGCGCCGCCGCCTGAATGCTCATGGCTCCGACCTGGTGTGATATTTTCTGGTTCGCAACGAGCTGCCAGCAACGCCGGTGCGTTCTTTACACAGCGAGCTAGTCCGTCATCTCCACACGATCCTCTTGTCGTTAACAGCAGTGATGCCAACCGCATCAGCGTGTCCACGAGTACGGGTCGGCGATACATGGCCAACAACATCTACAACATAGGAGCCGTCAAGGATGAAAATTGGCCGGTCAAGGTTACCATCCACAACATTAATCACGAAGACATGACATTGGCCGGCACGATGGAAGCCTACAACATCCCCGATAAGACGTCCCCGTCCCATGATGCCCATATCATCACATATCTTGAGGGCGAGATCATCGACTTCAACAAACATACCCTAGAGACGAAGAATTTCAAGGCCGACGCCGAGATCGATAGCACGTACTGGCGAGAGCTTCAGCCATTCAAGAACCTGACCGATGAAGAAATGACGCGGAACCTAGTCAGTCGCAAATGGGTCACCGAGGCATTGTCGAAGGGGTGGATCCTGATGAGATGGAAGGGTGAGTGGACCTGTACATTGGGTTTGTGCCCTTGGAGGAGTGTACTGACGGACTGTTTTCAGAACGATGTTTCATCACCCCGACCGACTCACGACAAGGCCTGACGATCTCTGGGTTTTATTACATCTCGTTGAACCGCGAAAATGGACATATCGAAGGGTTGTATTACGACCCGGGCAGTTCACCATACCAGCAACTATCATTAAATCCTGAGACACGGAAGATGGTGCGTCCGTCTTACGGATTCCGGTGAGTGGTTTCAACATAGGACTTTTGGGGGAAGTGGTATGTGCATAGCCGGTGTTGTTGTCTTCTTTGCAAATCGTTGGGGAAACCTGGAGCAATCTCAGAAGCTGTCAAGCTACGTACATATTTTTTTTTTTGGAAATCTAGGACAGGATCTTAGTGTGATGCCATCAGCTGTAGCAGTCGATGAAACCAGCCATAGATCTAACACACCAAACCAGCCACCACGATCTCCTCCCAAGCACTTTCCCCTCCCAACTTACCCGCGAAACCACATCCTACAATATGAGAATCCAAGAAGAAATTGAGCACCATAATCTGATTTAAATTCCTCAACGGGAGCTAGAGATGACCCGCACACACCACACCCGCCTAAAAATCGACAGATATAGAAAAAGAGAAAAAAAAAAAAGGATTTAACATCCCTCCCTCCCTTCCTAGATCAACAGCAACCTGTATAAAACCGAATTCACCCAAGTTGTATCGAACCAGAATGCGCCAGCCATCAGCCCGAAGTCCGGAAACTTTTCCTCAGATCACAGCACTCCACCTATTTCCATATGCCCCCTTCCCTTCTGGGCGTGCCTCCTCGAGACAAGAAAAAGGTGTCAGGGTAAGTGCATACAACAGAATGCATACATTTACTGCTCAGTCTGGAAGTAGTTAAGGAGGACGGAGCGCTCCTGGGACTCCTCTCCCCAGTCCTTAACGACAACGCAGGAGCAGTTGACGACCTTGCGGGCGTTACCCTCACGGTCGAGCTGGCCTGTTTCACACGGACACACATCGATTAGCAAAGGGTTTCTTCAAATGATTGACTGCGGGGTATTTCTTTTTTCTTTCCGGAGCGGGGACAACGTACAAAGACCAACCCACTCGCCGAGGAGCTTTCCATCGGGGACCTTGATGAGGGGGATCTTGTGCTCGGAGCACAGGGCAACGACAAGCTTCTTGTAGGCCTCCTCCTCGCAGCCCTCGTTCAGGACACACATGTGCGCCTGGCGACGGTCGAGGGCCTTGGCGGCCTCGCGCAGACCACGGGCAAGGCCATCGTGGATCAGGGAGATGCGGAGGACACCCTTGAGGGCGTCGAGGACGGACATCTGACCGCCGGCACCGGCGTCAGCCGAAACCTCGACCTCATCGGCAGCGACGGGGGGGTTGGATTGGGTCTCTTCTCCGTCCGACTAAAATTTTTTTGGCATTGATGGTTAGTTGTGGCTTTTTGGTGACAGGTTGTGCCTGTGGGGGAAGGGAAAATCTAGTGAGCGGATGGAGGTGCATATCAAACTCACCATTTTGTATGTTGTATAGTTAGACTGGTCTGTCGGATTATCCTCAAAGAGTTCGAGGTGGTTGTTCTTGTATAGACTAATAGTGGTGGTGGTGCGGCCAATTTTGCGCCGCTCTCGCCTAAATGTGTGCCCTACAAAGTTTACGTAATGATTTTAGTCACGTGTTGTACGATAGCACGTGATGTGGGGTCGGATGGTGAATCAACTAGCAACTAGTCCCAGAACGGAACCTTGTTGGTGTACCGTACCCGACCTACTGTATGTAATGTTACCACTATACCCTACTAGCTAGCATAGAGCTTGTAAAGAATCTCGGGATGTCATGATATCACGCTGTCCAAGCATCACACATCAGGTATCATAGTCGTACATCAAGTTTCCACCTGTACAGGCTAGCGCCAAGCTAAATGACCGCTGAAGCTGAAAGAACAATTAGACGTATGTACTAGGCCGGCTATGCCCATAGCCATTAGTCAACCCATTTCCTCCCAGTAACCCCGGTCCTTCCTCAATATGCGGCCCCGAGATATGTCCATTGGCCTGCGGCAGTTCAAATACAGGTTGCATTTTAGGCTCCTGATCAATGTGCATCTTGAGCAACTGAATGTCGAG